TCTCTCTCTCTCTCTCTCTCTCTCTCTCTCTATCCCCATCCCCTCCCCGCCACCCCCTCACGCTCTCTGTCTCTCTCTGTCCATAGCCACATTTTTCCGATGCCGATTCTGGCTTCGTTCGGCCATCGTTTTCGAGGAAACGACTTGCAAAATCTTCCTCTCCTCCTCCTCTACCTGACCCACCCAATCAAAAACTAGCATGTCGCTAGTGAGAGCTCGAGAAAACTCCAATTTACTTTCAAACTTTCCGGCATCGTTTCTGATAATTCTAGCGACGGAATTTGTCTATCCAAGTATGTTTTTTCACCAACCCTATGTGATCTAGCTGATGGTTGGGTTGGTTAGGATTGATTTTGAAGTTTTGAAGCTCGATCTAGAACCTAAGTTTTGACCGATTTTTGGCTTGATTTTCTTGCAAGCTCCAGCCACTTTTTAGTCGTGGCCCAAGAACAAAAGTTGCTTCCCTAGTTGTCCTGATCACGTAGGTATAGGTATTGTTGGGTGTTTTGAGAATTTTCTAGTTGCTGAAATTTTCTCAAGCCACCCATGCACTGCTGGTGTGTGTGGTTGCGCGTGGGCTATGGTGGGGTGGCCCATTTGGTTCTAAAATGTTCCCATGTCTACCCAAGCATGACAGTATGCTCATATTCGAATTTGATTATCGTTTGGCGAGTGGATTTACGCATATTAGGCGATATCAGGGTTCGATATGTTTGGACCGTTGGATCGACTCCATTTCCAAGTATGTTGATCTCGATACCTCTAGGATCGTGTAGGAACTCACAGATAGAGAATCGGAGCCCCGGATACTCTGAATCAATGATTCAAAGATTATGTAAAACAATGACTGTCCAATCGTGCGATCGAAAGCGATCCGACCGTTCGATCTAGACCAAACTTGCAGGACGTGTTTAGTATACCATGTTGAACCCGTAGGAACTTTAGGGTCAGAATTTGAAGGTCCTGGGCCCTGCGGGCCTGTTGACCAAATTTGAAGTTTGACCACTTGGTTGATTGAGAGTCTTCCGAGGTTATTCCACCATTCGAATACACACACTTGAGTCCCATGTCGTACACACACTTGAGTCCCGAGGAATAACCTCCTAGTTGACCAAATTTGAAGTTTGACCACTCCTAGTTGGACCTTAGAAACTTCTCGTCCGTTGTACACACACTTGAGTCCTGGAAAAACTAGGAGTTTACTTTAAAGTTCTCGTTCGAAGTGATTTATTTTAATCTAGTCCTCGTATTCTTCAATAGGTACTCCGACTCAGTGTGCTCAGCGAGCAGGACCCTCTCAAGGTCATGCAGCTTTGGACTTTCTGTGAGTGGACTTTGTTTTTAAATAATCATTATTTTTTGAACATGGAATGCTATGCATATTTATGTATTGGGATGCTTTTGATTACTGGAACTTTAATACTGTTTTAGTATTACTTTTTAGTATTTTATGGAATCATCGATATGTTATTGGATACTTTGCATATGCATGGTACGAGATCTGTGTTTTGGACACTAATGATGTTTGGTTGTCTAGAGATATGTGTTGGGCACATGGGATTGTCGGAAAGTGGTTATGGAGTGGGATTTGGGTTGTGGTTTATGTTAGTCTGGAGTTCTTTTAGCACTACCTTGTGTACCTGCCCGGCACTTGGATACTTCAATTGGATACTTGGGAACATTGGATACTCGGATATGTCAGAACTAGGGTACCCTTGACGGGGTGTCTCTTAGACTATTAGCAGGGTAGTCTGCTCGCATAGGACTTGTCACTGGGGCATGAGTATTAAGGATTCTGCTATCCCGGTTGGACAACTCGTTCCCTAGCCACATGGTCAATTGAGGATTCTCTCATGTGGTCTAGTCAAACAATCCCCCGGTTGGATTGTGTCCCCAATACAAGTTTGGTAGTGGTCTTATATACTATATATATATATATATACCTTTATTCTTATTTATTGGTGAGGATACTTCTTGCTCACTGTGCCAATGGGCACGCTTCTTGGGTGAGAGTGGTTTGAGAAAAAGGGAAATTTTGAGTGGGTTTGGGTATTAGTATACCATTACGGGATGGGGATTTCACCTTGGTTTTAATTATATCTATATCTATATATATATATATATTTTGAATGCATATTTGGCATCGTTTCCAAATGGTGGGGTTAGTATGTTGTTTTTCAAGTACGATAAAACTTTGTTTTTGTCCATTCACAAGTTTTCTGTTGCACTCCCCAGGCAGTAACTTGATCTGAGCCGAGCGGTCGAGTTGAGACTTGAACTTCCGAGCCCTGAACTTCTATAGGGCAACTTTTATTTGTCTCTATTCTGTTGGACTTTGTTTTCGTTTGTAAACTGAATTTCTTTAGAATTGCTCTGTTATCGCCCATGTTAGGGTTGGATGTAAGGCCGGAGGCCTATTCTGACAATTGTGTGCTTTTGTATTATGCATGCTGCTGTTGGGATTATTTTACTGTGATTTGACAGGTTGAAAATTTGGGAAAAGTCCATTTTTCAGGGAAGACTCTACTAAAATTTCGGTAGAAAGTCTCAACCCTCTTTCCTTTGTTTTGGAGAAAAGGATGTTGTTAGTAAATGAGCCCGGCATCGGTTTGATGTTGAAAAAACCACAGGGTTTGTCACAGATTCTGAGGAATTCGAGGTGGGTCCTGTCACTCTAGTACAAAAGTTGAAAACTAAAAACTAAAATTGAAATGGTTATCAAATTAGCCCTTAGTATATCTAGAAGGTTAGGTTTTTCTATAAAATTTAAAAAAAAATGTTTTTTTTGTTCTTAATAAATAAAAAATTCTTTATATTCTTGATATGACATTTGTTGTAGCATTAAGTTGGTATTCATATAAGCTAAAAATGAGGCGTTCGAGTGGTAGGTCAAAAATAGTGGTTAACTTGATAATTTAATTTTAAGTAGTGTTTTTCTTTTTCAAACTTTATATGATAGGAACTAAGTTATATTCACAAGCTACGAGTAATTATACTGTAGTATAATCATGTGGCATAATTTGTTCACTTGTTATAATATAAGTGGATATTTATTGATTTTATTCCCTAAGGGCTCGTTTGGTAAGTTAGACTGTACTGACTAATTTCTGTATAATAGTATTAATCTGTTCTGGAGAGTACTAACTGTTTATCCATAATATTATAAAGCGTTTGGTGTTGTTCTATATAAATAATCTGACTAAGTTATACTGTGTTTGATAATTTAAGTGGAAATAGAAATTCAAATGACACGAATTTTTTTTGGTAAGATTCATATGACAAGATTTGTTTTTTTACATATAACCCATTATCATAATTGTAGTATCTCATATATAAAGAAAAAAACACAAGAAAAACTCAGCAACATGCATTGAGTTGGATACACAGCTGCATGATGATAATTTAATTATTTGATTATTGAGTTGGATACATAGTCACATGTATTGTTTATACAGCAAGAAAAAAAGGTCAAAAAGGAAAAACTCATAACCTAATTTCCACAAAAATTAAATAAAAGAGGAAATCTATAAAGAAAGAGAAGATGAAGACAGAAGAAGAGAGAAGAAGCATATTGGGGAGAGAGAGAGATGGATACCTGGTGAAGAGTGAAGAGAATAACCTTGGAGAAGATAGCAGAGAAGAACTCTAGGGAGAAGCAGATGAAAATAGCGCCATCAGATTTTGTCAAGTAAACGTGTGTGTTCTTTTTCCCTAGTTGTATAATTAAGTGTGTATTATCTAAACCAGTATGCCTGAGTTGTATTAGTTAGTCAGGTAAGGAGAGTATTAAAAACCCAACCTATTTAAATAGTCAGGTAATTAAATAATACAAGTTGACACCAAGCACCTCACATGGACTATTTACTCCTATCGAGAGTCTAATACGGTGTACCAAACGAGCCATAAAAGGGAGAAATATTACCCCTAAACCCTAATATCAACCCTGATGTCCATATTATCACACATGCATAATTTATACCACGTGGTCGCACCATTCTATAATTACAAAATATAATTAGCCCCTGAATTTATTAAGGAAAATTAGGTATTAGACATTATTAAGTTTACTAATTAGTAAGTGAGATATTAAGTATTTTAGTTTGGGTTTTAATACTTAAAAAAAATAGCTATTTTAGATTAGGCCAAAGGCTGGCCCAGATTCGTTGGGCCAGCTTAAAAATAACAAATAAAAAGACAATTCTACCCTTTTCTCTTAAAAAGCCTGGCCCATCTGTAAACCTACAAATTAAATGACGTTTTTGCCTCTGAACGTTTAAACGACGCGCGAGTTTCTTTTCTTTTTCGTTCGTTTTCTTCTTCGTTTCAGAGCTGGGTTCTGCCATTGGAGCTCAATTTTCTGGTAGGTTTTGCTTTTATTTTCTTCGTTTTTCTGTCTTCTTTTTTCTGCTACGTTTTCGTTCGATTTGCATGCTGAATGACTGTCAGTTTTGGGTGATTTCTGTTCTCCTTAGTTCGGGTATTTCGAGCTCAGTTTTGTGGCTCGATTTTGCGGCGCGATCTTGTGGCGTTCAATGCTAAACCCTATATTCTTCGTTTCGTGATCAGATTTGATTTTAAGCTGCTGTTTGGTTGTGGAGATTTTTGGCAGTCCTAAGTTTTGAGGTATGAGTACTTTAGAACCTGTTTTCGTTTATATCGACTTGTATGTTTATGGAATTTAGTTTTAGTACTTTTATCGTGGTTTCCTTTTGGTTTCTATTCGAATTGTTTTGATTTTCTGTCATAAACTACATCTGTTTGTTGTAGTTTTGGTAGAAACTGCATTGCAGTTTCTTGTTTCATAATTCGATTTCAGACTAATATTTGGAAGTCTATTGGAATTTTACAACTGCTCATGTACATTATTTACTGATTTAAATTGTTTTCTGTTTTTGTTTGTTGTTTTGTTTGCATTTTCAAGGCTAATGGAGGTGTGTGTCATTGCCAAGTGCACATATAAGTCGGAAACCATGATGTTTTCAGTTTCATCAGAGTCATCCATGGTTGATATTTTGAAGACTTTGTGTCTAAGGTTTAAGGGTTTGCAGTTGGGTTGTTTTACGTTACGGTATTCGCTGCCCAGTTATCCGAGTTGTTTTCTAGAAACGGATAGCGATTTGGACATGATGAGGACATTTTTGTTTGTATCAAATGAGAAGAGTGTTGATATTTTAGTGAAGGATTTATGCGGAAGCAGTGAATATAGTGGTGATTTTTGTGTAAATAAGGAGTTGATTGCATGTGAAAAGGGCGAGTCGTCGTGTTCTAGTACTGTCGAAGACAAAAATGAATTTTTGGGCAGGTCGAAGAGAGCAAGTGCTAAGCCTTTGTTGTCGAATGAGTGGGAGACGTACATACATCATGTAGGGCAGAAGTTTGACGGTGGTGCAGAGGAGTTCCGTTTGAAATTGTGCAAGTACGCTCTTGAAGTAGGATTTAATTTTTTATATGCCGGCAATGACACGAAGCGGGTGGTTGCTATTTGTTCGAATAAGAAATTGGAGGGTTGTAGCTGGCGTGTTTATGCTTCTCGTTGTGAAGCTACTGGCTGTTTTGTAATTCGGACATTAAATAATGTGCATACATGTGTGGGTCGGATACGGGAATCAAAGAGTAAGATGATGAAGTCTCGTGTGGTGTCCTCCCTCATTGTGGACAGAATTCGTGCAAAACCAGAGCTGAAGCCAGTTGAGATTATACACGAGTTCAAAGATTATTACGGTATAGACATTTCATACTACCATGCATGGTTTGGCAAAGAGTTAGCTAAATTGAACGTACATACATCAAGGTTTGTTAAATGCAATGGGGTTTGTGTTTCCTGGATGGCCTCATTCTTACTGTTACTATCACCTCAAACAGAATTTGATATCGAAGTACCCGAAGTCAGGTTATGCGAAATCGCTCCAAGACCGTGTTATCAATTTATTTAGTAGGTGCGCATATGCTGTTATAGAGGAAGAGTTTACGGTAGCAATGGAGGAGTTGGTGATTGTTGGGAGTTCGAAAGTGAAGACATTTATATCTGATTTGTCTAGAGATCACTATGCGAACGCATATTTCAAAGGAATGCGGTATGGGGAGATGGCAAATAGTTTAGCGGAGTCATTTAATAATTGGGTTGGTGTGTTTCGAGATTTGCCGGTTCTACCTTTGATAGAAGGGATTCGACAGAAATTGATGGTATTGAATTCTCAACGACTAATTGAAGCGGAGAAGTGGACAACAATTTTGTGTCCGGAGATGGAAACTAGACTGTGGGAAAATGCGGAGGCCGGTAGGACTTGGGTAGTTCGTCGTTCTAGTTTCACTGTTTTTGAAGTATTTGCTGATTATTCTGTGATGGTTGATCTTGAGCAAAAGACTTGTTCTTGCCGTCTTTGGCAAATTGACGGTTTTCCTTGCACGCATGCGGTAGCTGCAATTCTAGCAAAGAAAGATTCAATTTATGATTACGTGGAGTGTTACTATAGGACTGACTTCTTTCGAAAAGCCTATGAGAGTCCTATTTTTCCTATTCCAGATATTGGGAAAGGCTTGGGCAGCAACAGTTTTGCAGCTGGAGTTGTGCTTCCGCCAATTACAAAGAGGCCAGCCGGAAGACCACCAACAAAGAGGATCAAAGCTTTTGGTGAATTTAAAAGGCCATTGAAATGCAGTCGGTGTAATAGGAAGACTTGCAAGGCTGTGATATGAACATTCCTTCTCAGTTGACGATTGCTTACGTTAGATATGGTTTAGTGAATGTATAGTCAGTTTCTGCATTGCACTTTTTGCAAAACCTGCATTGCAGTTTTAGTTGCTTTTAATTGGCTACACAGCTTCTAATTGGATATTATGATTCTTTTTTGAAGTTAATGAAAATTATACAATTGTTTCATGAGTGGATATTCGTTTTTGACTGCCATTGAATGCTTGTTTTCAGATTTGAGCAGATTTTGTTGCAGAAACTGCACTGCAGTTTCTGTTTATTTGTTGCAGATTTTGAACAGAACTTGTCCCATAATTCAATTTCAGAATACTTTTTGCTAGTCTATGGGAATGTTATAACTGCTCATGGAGTTAAATGTGTTTTGATATTAGTTTTAGTACTTTGATTATGCCTTTACCTTTTGAGCAGCAGTGCAGATTTTGACCAGAAACTGCAGCGCAGTTTCTTGTTCGAGACCAGAAACTGCAGCGCAGTTTCTTGTTCGATAATTCAATTTCAGAATAATTTTTGCAAGTATATTGGAATGTTACAACTGCTGACCTACTTAAATGTGTTTTGATATTAGTTTTAGTACTTTGATTATGCCTTTACCTTTTGAGCAGCAGTGCAGATTTTGACCAGAAACTGCAGCGCAGTTACTTGTTTGAGACCAGAAACTGCAGCGCAGTTTCTTGTTCGATAATTCAATTTCAGAATAATTTTTGCAAGTATGTTCTCATATACAATAACTAGAAATATTTACAAACATCCACAAGAATTAAGATACATATTGTCTTGAGTTAACGAAAGGCAAATCACTAGAGACGATTAATTACACAGTGTTTGTGGTGTAGGAGTTTTGTGACATATTGTGCTCGATATTCATTCATGAATTTCTTGTCCACACTTTTTGGAATGGGCTGTCCTTGTGCTATTTTATCCATGTAGAACATGACGAACATGCCGCAATCCAACCTGCAAATGAATACGAGATTAGCTTTTGGTTTTGAATGATTTCAAATTGTAATGAATGGTTGAGTAGACACAATTCTTACGAAGATGAATTTTGTTGAGCACATTCTGTGTCATCCTCAAATGGAAACTGATATGGATTTTGCAGAATCCAATTTAGAGTGAGTTCTTCATTTGGGGACAAATCAACCTGTGCAGGTGTAGGGGGCCCTTCTTTTTGCTTCACAAGTTTTGGTATTTTTTTAGTTTCTAAGAACTCTTGTGCTTGTGGTCTGATATATTCTAGCCACCCTTCCACAATATTAACCTGTTTAAAGAAGAAGAAAAAAAGAGAAAAAGAAATGGTAATCAGTGCATTGCATATTATAGTTTTGGTCCGAAATTAAGCAGTACATATAATACAGAAACTGCATTGCAGTTTCTGTTTGTGTTTGTGCTGAGAAATTAAGACAGTTTCATTCCACTTACAAAATTTTGAGCAATGTCAATACACTTTTCTTCTTTTCTAGATCCCAACGATCTAAGTGGATTGTAGTGTCTCCACTTTCGTTCAATTTTGTGAAATGTGAGAAGTGTAAAGTGGAACTCAGAACTTGAAATGATCGGGAAGAAGAGAACATTGCATTTCCCGAGTTTTTCAAGTAAGTGTTCATACAGGGCCCTATGCCAATTTGGTTCTAGAAAGGTTTGCATGTAAGCCTGATATCATTGAATGGCAATTTGTTAGTATATATTTTCGAAAACTGCAGTGCCGTGTCTGTTTAAACAACTTTGAATTTTCAAAATAATTCTTACCCAAGTCCATGTAGACATGTACTGTGGACTATCTGTCTGCATGGGCCCTATTTTCTCCTCCTCTATTTGGATATAGGCCTCAATAACCTGTTTCACATTGATTAGAGAAAAATGGAATTATTAACGGGTAATATAGGTAGCACAAATAAAAATGCAGTGCAGTGTGTGTTATAGAATTAGTATTTTATACTTACGTTTTGTGACAGTTCCAGGTCCCATACAATATCTTTGATATCATGGTTTGTCACTTTCTCACTATCGAGTCCTGCCCAAAAGTTATCACTGCGGATTCAAATACATGAAATTCACAAGATTAGTTTTAGTTTAATTGTAATTAAAAGATGAAAGAGTTGTTCTTTTGGAATAGAGATATTACCTAGGTTGAGTACTTAAGTAGTATTCTTGAATTCTGTCCCTGTCCTCCTTTGGAATTTTCTGCCAAACCTTCTTTTGACCCCATCCTAGTTTTTTCTTTGTTGGCTTTTTTTTGTCCTTCATCTTCATCATTTGATTCTTGCATACCTACAAGTATTGAATCATGAAGGCTCGTTCCTTTTGGGGGATCAGGAATTGGATTTGTGGCATCGGGCTGAGATGCCTCTTGTGTTAACTGCAGATTGAAAGGAAACTAATTAGAAACTCCATTTGATAAAACAGAAACTGCAATGCAGTTTCCGTTTCTGTAAAGCAGCAGAAAACAGAAAAGCAGCAGCTTGAACTGCAGTAATTGCATACCACCTTCTGATTTTGAGGATCCTCTTGTGTTGATTGCTCCTCGGAAGAGATAATCTTGAATTGTGGTAGTTCTTCATCATCCTTTTTTGCCTTCATTTTTGGTTTCTTATTTTTTTCGTACACATAGCAAGATGCTTGAAGCCTCTTTCTTTCTCTATTCTTCAGCCTTAGTACTCTTGAAGGAACATCAGGTGTTGGAGCGTCTTGCTTCTTCTCTTCTTCTTTCTCTTCTTGTTCTTTCTTGTCTTCTTCTTTCTCTTCTTCTTCTTCTTCTTGCTCTTCAACTGGTTGTGTTGGTTGTGTTGTAGGCAGATCCATCTCCATTTCAAAGACTGTTGGGTCTGACAACAAGCTTTGAATTTCTACCTTGTACTTTTCTTCAATCTCCTTTTTCTTGGCAATCTTCTCCATGTCAATCCGAGTTTCCTTGCCTTCCAATTCTGCAATCCTCCTTTTTAGATTTTCTATTTCCTGAAGCTGAACGGTAGATTCCACTGTCATGGTGGCAGTCACATATTCTTCATTATCTAATTTCTCTACGTATGTTGCCAACTTCGCTTCCAGCTCCTTTGATCTCTTTTCTCCTTGGATAAATATATCCCACAATTCCTTCATTTTCTTCTCACTGTCTTCATTTTTTCATCCTTCCACAGTTGTAATCTTTCTGGGCAAATGAAGCTAGGATCTTGACGTTGGTGATAGTTGATTTGGTCTGTCATGGACTTCACCAAGAGGTCTTGAATTGCAAGAGGTTCATTTCCAGCTTCATTCTCAAACATTTTCTTCTTTCCATCCTCTTTTAATTCTGGAGTTTGATCAGTATTATCAGGTTTTCCTTGGTCTTCTGCTTCCTCTGCTTCTCTTTGTTGTCCTTCATCTTCTTTTTCTTTTTTCTGCATCTTCTTTTTCTTGTCAAGAGGGTCTCCCTCTTCTCTGGTAGTTTTTCTCTTTTTATATGCTTTCAAAATACCCTGTACAATGAGATTGAATGATTCAAAAACTGCATTGGATAAAATACAAACTGCAATGCAGTTTGTTTCACTAAAATGCAAAAAAACAGCATATACCAGAAAATATGCATCAACTTGACATGAATTTGAAAGATCAGCATAGCCAAAACAAGAACTACAAAACACAACAGAAACTACATAACAACATGACGTGAAATGAGCAACATTCAAGAAGCACAGAAACTGCAATGCAGTTTGTGGTTCACTAAAATGCAAAAAACAGCATATACCAGAAAATATGCATCAACTTGACATGAATTTGAAAGATCAGCATAGCCAAAACAAGAACTACAAAACACAACAGAAACTACATAACAACATGACGTGAAATGAGCAACATTCAAGAAGCACAGAAACTGCAATGCAGTTTGTGGTTCACTGCAATGCAGTTTGTGGTTCACTAAAATACCTTGTCAACAGTGTCTTCCTCTTCCCTGGTAGTTTTTCGCTTTTTAGGAGTTTTGAAAATACCCTGTACAATGAGAATGATTTAGCATGAATTCACATTCAAGATACATTAAAGTAGAACAACATGCGATAAATTGCATACCTCGATGTCATTCAAGTCCTTTATTTGGTTGAATCTTGTGTGGAGTTCCACAAGACTCCATTTAAGAATGGCAGGAGTTTCTTTCTCTTTGCCCAGGATTGGTTGTATTATGTTTGTCCTCTCACACAGTAGAAACTGCACAGTTCAAAAACAAGATATATCATAAATTAGGTTGGAAACTGCTTAGGATAAAACAAAAACTGCATTGCACTAAAGGGAAACTGCATTGCCTAAAACTCAAAATGCATACCAATATTAGGATAATGCAACCCGAAACAGCTCCTATAGAGCCTTCTCCTCCCTTCTTTGCTTTTGCTTTTGCTTTTGCGACCAAGGATTCATTCATGTAGGCTGAAACAGCACTTGCCCAAGAATAGCTTGAAAGTGTGTCCAGATTCACACAGTGCTCAAATACTTTCCAATGCAAAGTAGACGAAGCGTTGGCAAAAAGGAATGTTATGCATAGGTGAATCAATATTATGCTGACCACCTCCTTGTCGTAGTCAACTTCTTCTTCTTCTTCTTCAGCTTCTTTCTTTTGCTCTGCCTTGGCCTTTTCTTTCTTCGGTTGGTTTGCCAATGAAATTGTCTTCAGTAATTCTGCTTCTACCAGATTTTTTGATGGTTTTCCCTTTTCTCCAAAGTGCCTTATTCTGAAGGTAGAAGTGTACCTATCATTGACAAGTTTGACAGATTTTCCTTCATTTGGCAGTCCTAGAATCTGAGTCACTGCATTGCCTGTGATCTTGAATGCTTCGGTGCCAAATTTGAAGGACTTTGTATCTGGATCAAACTTCTTGAGCAGCTGAACTAAGTCAAGGTCTGACTTATTCATGTTATTCATGTCAATCCTTCGGTTGTAAAACACCTCAATCAAGTTCCAAAATGGGGTGTTCTTGAGAAGCTTCTTCTGCCTTTCATTCAGCTTGTCTTTTACATCCATAATGATGCTGTTGAAAGCGTTGACATTGCACCGAAATTGGACATAATTTGGGTGCTTTGCTTTCCGATCATAGTTTGGCTTTGGCTTTGGCTTTGATTTACTCTTTTGAGCCATCATTTTGAATCTTCGCTTTGGTTGGTTTTGAGCTTCCTCCTTTTGTGGTGACATTTCTTGTGCCATTTGTGATCTGCAACAAGAAGGGATGAAAATATTATTAGGACAAGTAGAGATAAACTACAAGCAAACAGAAACTGCAATGCAGTTTGTGGTTCACTGCAATGCAGTTTGTCTTTGACTAAAATGCAAAAAACAGAATATACCAGAAAATATGCATCAACTTGACATGAATTTGAAAGATCAGCATAGTCAAAACAAGAACTACAAAAAAACATAACAGAAACTACATAACAACATGGCGTGAAATGAGCAACATTCAAGAAGCACAGAAACTGCAATGCAGTTTGTGGTTCATTGCAATGCAGTTCACAGAAACTGCAATGCAGTTTGTGGTTCACTGCAATGCAGTTTTTCTTTCACTAAAATGCAAAAAACAGAATATACCAGAAAATATGCATCAACTTGACATGAAATTGAAAGATCGGCATAGCCAAAACAAGAACTACAAAACACAACAGAAACTACATAACAACATGGCGTGAAATGAGCAACATTCAGGAAGCACAGAAACTGCAATGCAGTTTGTGGTTCACTACAATGCAGTTTGTGGTTCACTAAAATGCAAAAAACAGAATATACCAGAAAATATGCATCAACTTGACATGAAATTGAAAGATCAGCATAGCCAAAACAAGAACTACAAAACACAACAGAAACTACATAACAACATGGCGTGAAATGCACAGAAACTGCAATGCAGTTTGTGGTTCACTGCAATGCAAAAAACAGAATATACCAGAAAATATACATCAACTTGACATGAAATTGAAAGATCAGCATAGTCAAAACAAGAACTACAAAACATAACAGAAACTACATAACAACATGACGTGAAATGGAAAGAAGTATAAATAATTTAGCAGAAACTACAATGCAGTTTCTGTTTTCTTCAGTGCAGAAAACAGTTTTGATGCTCTTTTGTGATTTTTCGGTTTTTAGAGGTTTTCAAACCAAAACTAAACCCAAAACCTAAACTACATTGCAGAATGACAGTAAGTAAAATTTCAGAACCCTAAAATCAAAGGCAAATTTGTGTTAGGGGTCATTTTCTTACGATTTTTTTCCCCAAGAGAGTGCTAAACCCTTCAATCGTCGTCGTTGCTGGTCGTCGCTTCTGGTCGTTGCTCGTCGCCGTTTCAGATTTTGGGGGAATAGGTTGGAACTGCTGAAAGAGAGAATGAAGAATCGGCTTCGATCGTTGGTGGTCTTCGATGATGGTCGCACGAATGGGTTGGTGGTCTTCGATGATCGTTGGTGGTCTGGAGGTTTCTGGAGGTGAAGTTGAAGAGGTTTTTGGAGGTGAAGTTGAAACGTCGCGCGAATGAGTTGTGATTCAATTTTGGTTTCGGTTGATGTCGTTTTGGTTCAGTTTTGGTTTGATGTCGTTTTTCAGTTTTTGTTTAAAACTAAATACTGAAAATGGCATATGTTGTAATTTTCATATTTGTAATGGTATTTTTGTTACATTTTGGTTTTTTTCCTTTTGCTAATTAGACTAAATTGTATTTCTTTCTACTAAATTAGTAAACTATATTATGCTTTAAAACTAAAGCCCCCTGTATCTCTATTTTACTTTTTTATCTCAAAAAAAAGAGAAGAGGATTTCCCTTACTATTTATGTACGATAATAACGTATTGAAAGGGCCATGGCCCCAAGACCTTGTAGGTTCAGCCCATCTTGGGCTACAAGACCAAACTACTAGCGATCAGTCAAACGAAAACAAGCGTTGGACGTGTGTTGTGTTCCATCACTTAAAAGGCAAGATTTCTATACATTTTTTATTATTACTAGTTTTTTTATATAAAAAAATTCCGAACCAATGTTCTCTTGGGTTGTTCTTTACTTTAAACACCCTCAAACACCCACCAAATCACTCTTTAATCTCATTTAGCTTTCGTTATCATATTCGGGCTTGATTCTTTTGCTTGAAAAATAAGCAAGAGAAGAAAGAAACACATTGATTCTATGTAGTATGAAAACGCAAATACTTTCCTACTGCTACATAAAATTAACATAATGGAAAAGAAAACGGTATTTATGAGTTATGTCAATTGACCAAGGAAGTGTGCATATCCCTTTTGAGTTTGATCCTCCTTCTTGTATATGAGAATAGTTTAGATATATCGTGCCCTTATAAAAAAAGAAGTGATCTTGTTGATGTTCAAGATTTCTGAAAGAGGAAAAACTAAAAGAGAATGCTGGTTTGGGGAGGAAAAAAAAAATGCAAAACCCTTCCTGCCTTATAAACCAAGGCTGGTGGTGGAGCATGATACATTTTTTTTTGTTACATTGGAGGAAAGAAACCCCACTAGGGTCCATGGTGAACCTACAGAGGCGCAAGGACCTCATCGGAAAGTTGCACCTCTGCTCAGTCTTTTGGTGCCCTCTATCTGTTCGACAAAGGCCTCAGCGAACAGACTCTTCCTTTGATGTTGTGCGCATAACTGCGCTTCTCTTTTTTTTCCTTTTTTTTTTAACTCATCGCCAAAACTATGTTGTTTTGGGCTAGGGGAAAAAAAAGATAGTGTCCTTGTTATACTCGGAGTAGAAGAAACTAACCCACTGCCAGAGGGCAAAAAAACTGGCATGGTGCCAAGAGAAATATGTTGGATTGGTGAAGAAGAGTGAAGGGTGAGAAAAGATAAGGGCCTATTTGGTATTCAACTTGAATCCAACTTTTTAAACTAAAAAACAGAATTTGAGTTCAAAACAAAGAAAACTTGTTTGGTAGCCCTATTTTTAAAAACTCAAACTCAAGAACAACCAAAAAAAAACATCCCACTTATTAAAAATAAAAAAATCTGTTTTTTCAGTTTTTTTCTAACAACCCACAAGTTCTCAAATTTTTGAGATTTGAAAACAGTTTTCAAGTTGCATACCAAACAAGTTTTTGAATCTTAAAAATAGATTTAAGAACTCCTTCATTTTTAAGAAAAATCAAAGTTTTTGAGTTCCCTATTTGAATAGGATACCAAACGCCTCCTAAGTGTGCGTGGGGTTTTGGAGGTGAGGGTTTTGCTTGGCATTTTTTCTTATTTTTAAGGAAAAAGGGGGCAGAGAAAGTTCCATCCAAGAAAGAAACACAAAAGAATGACATGTCCACTGGAGAAGATGAAGTTGATGTCCTTATTGTGCACGGAAGAGAGGAAAGTTAGGAAACTAAAACTCTCTTAAAAAATATAATCTCTTTTAGAGATCTTTTCCGTCCCCACCACACCAAGTCTTTATTTGTTTTTTAAGAGAGAACTCCATCCAACTCTTTACAAAACATCTTAGCTAAATAATTAAAAAGTATTTATAAATAAAACATTATATTCATATCTTTTTCTTTCCGTCCCTTTTTGAAAGAATTTCAAGTCTTTATGAAAAATTAGTCATCGATTAAGTATAGTGCCTTTAAAAGTTGCACTTTCGTTGAAAAATTCCTCGGTCTGTCAGTGATTAAGGTTCAATCCTGGGTGCCATAGAGGAACGGGAGGAATTCACCACCATAGTGGTGGGAAGGAAACCCAATGGCGAGCATGATATGGTTTGCAACACAGAGAACATGCACGACGCTATTGGTTTGTTTTGATTCTCAGCAGCACTTTTGTTGCTTAAGCCAAGCCGGCTGGAAACCACTATAAGGCAAGGCTCATGACGGGTTTATTTTAGAAGAAAAATCTCTATTATAGAGGTGGTACATAATGTGGTATATAAATATAGTAAGCCTAACATTACCTATTAATTTCAAATATATAATATTATTTATTTTGCACCAATTTCCAATATATAGCTCTCTAGCTCACTATTCTCTCTCATGATAGTTGTGGGAGCAAATATTTTCGTCTCCAATCACAGCACGCCACGTGGAAAAGAATATTATTCCTTAAATTAATTAATTGAACCAATTATTTGGCCAATTAATTAATATGGATAATATCTTAATTATAGGATTTATCTTATAATTAATATAGATAATATCATTAATTTAGATATTATCTTCATAAAGAGATATAATCAAGTCCGACTCATTCCTACGAATTTGGGTAAAGAATAAACTCATCCTAATAAGAGTTTATTCTCTACGAAACCCTAGCCCCGAGGCTCCTATAAATAGATGCTTCATTCAAAGGACTTCGAAAAACCTACTCCTAATACCCGAGAAAAATACCCGAAGCTCTCTTCCTCTCCACTCTCCACTCTCCATATTTTCTCCACATGGCTCCGGCCGCCTAGTTCTCCACCATACTACATCTCCATACCTATTTGGGCCTAAAACACAAGCACTAGCCCAAAAAAAACCCAACAAAACAGAAAAAAAAAAAAAAAAACAGAAGTATGGGCCTTGGCTCCAGAAAACAACCCAAGAGACTTTAGACGCTCAGGTTTTTGCAAAAGTGGGAGAGGTTTAAAAAAACACGAAAATAACAAATAAGATTACCATTTAATGGTACTTAATACCCAAGCAGGTCGAAAACCTCTAAGAATTGGATTAAACCTAGCTTCTGAAAAATTCTCATCACTTGATCTCAACCGCAAAAGCGAGTCAGCAGATCTTTTTTACTAAAGAATGTTTTCTCAAAAGAGCCCCACGTGACTTCCTGACTTTGAAAAGTCAAAATTCTCAACTAAGACAGAGGAAGTGATAGGGAGTTAATGAAGGCAGATTTTATAGGAGGACTTCTCCATTTTTTACAGCCAGGAAAAGAAGATCATATCCCCTTTTCATATACAGAGAAGCTCTACACCAAAGCAGGTTATATTTCCAAGAGATAAGCAGACTACGTTCTCAAGAGATAAGTAGGGAGCGAGGGAGTTGTTCACCAGGAAAAGCAAACTGATTATCATGACAAATTGTGTTTTTACAAGGAATAAACAAAGAACAAGAAGAGTCGGTTTTCTATCAGGAAAAAGCAAGGAAAAGACTACCATGAAAACTAACTGTTGATGGTTCTTCTCTGCCAGAATAATAACTTCCCTTTTTGTGGCATTTAAAAAGAAAGATCTTTATGAAAGATCTATCGCCCATTACTAAAGATTAAAAACCCCACTCCAGCATTTCCTATAAATATGAGAGGAGATGAACATATCAAGACACAACCAAACAATCAATCAAGACAAAAACTCTCAAAGTCATACTGACAAAATCAAAAAGATCAATTGTTCTCAAGAAACCTTCAGACACTGAAGCAACCAAAAGCTTTTTAACCTACAAGAAACAAATTAGCTAGAATTCAAAACTCTGGTTTCAGTTCAGTTTAGAAAAATAGTTTTACAAAGCGAGATTTCTCTCGTTACAAATTTGGTTCAGCACAAAGCCAAGTCAAGCAGAGTATAGGTTTTTACAAATATGAAAACCTCGACAAATTTATAGAAAGCCTTGGTCAAGTAGAAGAGGTACCATAGTGCAGCTCCAGCTCAGTGACCATCAATCCAACCACTTCTGTCCTCTTCAAACTAAAGAGGCCTCAATTCTACCAGTTCAACAAGTCTTCCATGCCTCAAAATAGATTGAAGCTCTACCAAACTCAAACATTGCTATCGATATCCAACTGAAACTTATCAGTTGAAGGTGTTGACGATCCAATCCAGCATAGACATATCCAGTCCAGCCCAGTTCAGAGGTAGCTATCTATACAGAAATTGAAGTCCAACATCCTGTTGTCTTTTTTGGAGTTGACATTTCTCATTTGAGTCCTGTAATAGGCAGTTATGCTTAAATAATTTGTCTTCTTTTTATCCATTCTGGCCAGAACTACCAGTTTTGTACTGTGAAAAATTGTGAAGTCCTCACCAGTCTAAGGCAAGAAAAGAACTTACTTGTGAGATATTCCTCACCCAAATTCACAATTGTTTGTTTAGAATCAGTAACTTGGGGCGCAAGTTATCTATTTTTTAGAAGTCTGCTATGATTTTATTGCTAGCAGTGGCACACTCATACACAAAAGAAAGTTGACTTGTTGACCAACAATGGTTTTCAAATCAATGGGGAACTTTACCTTACCATCACAGGATTAATCAAAACGGGTGAACAGTACCCTTTTGTTAGCTATTGTCTTCCTACAAACACTCGAACTAACTTAGGCATCGGAGGGCCTTTGGCCAACACTTCTCGGGTGTAGTTTATTTACTCTAGTCTTTTTTACAAGAATCAAGGAAAAGAGAGAAGGAAGATCGAAGGTTGAAGGATCTAGAAGCGATTATTCTCCCGCGAGATTATTTGCACAAACAATAGTCATTTGAATTGTGAAAAGATAACCTATCAGGGGAATGGAATAATTTGGTAGAGAAGAAGAAGCTCCAAGTTGCATGGGAACGGGAGAAACTTGTACTATTCTTTGTTTTTTTATTTTTTTTATTTATACAAATGATAATCTAATCTAAATTATAGGAGGGGAATTCAAACTCGGTTGCAAAGTGGGGAGCATATCCGCTCTAGCTAACTTGACTAAGTCCATATCTATTGTCTTACTCTTTATTCTTAACCTAAACAATTATGCTTCTGACCAAAAAAATTAAAACCTAAATAATAATGTTGTAAAGAAGTCCACCTATATCCTATATTTGAAACATCCAAACATATCATAGAACTTAATTAGTAAACCTAGCTAGTTCAGGCAGTCCATCTTTTTCAAGATCCAATTGAACTAACTCAGTCCAACTCTCCCTGCGAGAGAAAATTCCATCCGCTTTATCTATTGTTGTATCTTTATCAAGATCAAATTGAACAAACTTAGGCATTGGAAAGCCTTTGGCCAACACCCCGGGGGTTGGCCTAATTACTCCTATTTATTTTGCAGGGATCGAGGAAGAGAGAGAAGAAGATCGAAGGTAGAGGAATCACCCGAGAATATTCCCCGTGCGGAATTTTACTCAAACAATCAATGTAAGGGATTTTGTGAAAAAATTTAAAACCTTCGAGGGTGTTCATGTATTTTTGAAAACCTGGGTTTTATAAAAACACCAATTCATAGGGTGTCATTTTAAATAACTCTTATTCAAAACCTTTCAAGTTGCAAAGTTGTAGGGGAATATTAGGGCCATGTTTGGATCCAAGGATTTGAATTTGGAATTTATAGATTTTAAATACCTGTAATTGGATCCAAGAATTAAATTCTATTGTTGATGATCACATTTTTTTTTTTTTTTTTTTTTTTTTTTTTTTTTTTTTTTTTTTTTTTTTTTTTTTTTTTTTTTTTTTTTTTTTTTTTTTTTTTTTTTTTTTTTTTTTTTTTTTTTTTTTTTTTTTTTTTTTTTTTTTTTTTTTTTTTTTTTTTTTTTTTTTTTTTTTTTTTTTTTTTTTTTTTTTTTTTTTTTTTTTTTTTTTTTTTTTTTTTTTTTTTTTTTTTTTTTTTTTTTTTTTTTTTTTTTTTTTTTTTTTTTTTTTTTTTTTTTTTTTTTTTTTTTTTTTTTTTTTTTTTTTTTTTTTTTTTTTTTTTTTTTTTTTTTTTTTTTTTTTTTTTTTTTTTTTTTTTTTTTTTTTTTTTTTTTTTTTTTTTTTTTTTTTTTTTTTTTTTTTTTTTTTAGAAGCATTAGGACTGTCATTTCGAATTAGCACCAGAAATCACGGCCAAAGATATGAGGGAAAGACGGGGACTTTGTACTAGTAGGGAACGAACACTGTTGGAGCTCAGAGCCTGGGAGACGATGAAACGTTTCTTTCGACCAGTAGAGAAAGATGGGTCTGCCAAAAAGCCCACTCTTTCATCTTCTTCAGAAAATGGAGAAATTTCAGGGGAGGGCAGCAAGAAAGAGCCACTTAAGTTCATAACGTGGAATGCTAATAGCTTTCTTCTCCGGGTTAAGAAGAACTGGCCTGAGTTCACTAAGTTCATCACGAGCTTTGACCCAGATGTCATTGCAATACAGGCGAGCCATTCTTTCTCTTTCTACTTTCCCACTTCAAATTTTGGCTTGTTTTCATTTGGGGGGTTTGAGAGACATTGATGAATGCTTGTGATGGCAAATGGGTATGGCTATTTTGATTATTTTCGTATGCTGGGATATTTGGGTGCTTTCTTTTTGGGCATGTGAACGTTGATGCATGTGTTTAATGGGACGTGGTCTCCTAATGTTTTGAGCTCTAGGGGAAATCTGGTTGCTGGGTTTGAATATTTGATACATTTGTACTCGTAAGGGTCACAGTTAATCAAATTTTTACTCTTTTGGTTTTAAATATTTAAGTCGTGCTGTTCACACTTTAGTTAGTCAGATTTTAAAAGGGTGGTTTATGCACTTGATCTTGTCATTTGGATTCATTGTAGAAGTTGGCTAGCTAGATTGGTGCCTTTTATTAATATTTTCTAGACACAAATAATGCGTATATTTTTAATTTAATTTTGGATTTGATTTGATATTTTCTTTCGTGATTTAGTATCTGAATCAAACTCAACCTTGTTAGTTGATTCCTTTACTGAGTTCATTTTGTTGGTCTATATTTTTGTCTATATGCTTTGCTAAGTACTACTAATTCTAAAAGCAATCGCTTCGGCAATTGCATGTGTAACAACTTTCTAACTGCGCGTTGATATTAGGAAGTAAGGATGCCTGCTGCTGGTTCAAAGGATGCACTTAAAAATCCAGGAGAGTTGAAAGATGACACTAGCTCATCACGTGAAGAAAAGCAGGTATGATATTCTTATGAATAAAATTTTTGGGTGGGGAGTGTGCTTGTTGAACTTGAACTGTTGCAGTCCATTCCTATCATCGATCATTGTCATGCTCAAAGCATTGGAGTTTCATACGACACCGCAAAAATTTAGTACATTCCCCAGTTAATACTTTACAAAGCGTTGAGTTCCTGATTGGTTTAATGATTTTTTTCATACCTTTTGTACAAGTTTGTTCTCTTAAGAGTTGTTAGTTTTCTTAAGGTGGCATAATACAAGGATGTTCTCATAGTTCTAAAAGTTTATGAAATTAAGCTTCGTGATTGAGTTAAATTCACCATCCCTTCATTCCACCTTCCTTACGTATATAATATTCTCACTTGTATGTTTGATCATTACATGCAAAGACGCCCAAAACGATGATCTCTACTAATCTATATGCTGGTTATCTTTTCTCCTGTCTCAAAATGTGCAGATACTAATGCGTGCCTTGTCAAGTCCGCCCTTTGGAGATTATCGTGTTTGGTGGTCTCTTGCAGATTCAAAGTATGCAGGGACTGCATTGTTTGTAAAGAAGTGTTTCCAACCACAAAAAGTATTTTTCAATCTTGACAGAAAAGGTTTGCTGCTGGTTAATAATCTGTTTCTGTTAATAACATACACCCACTTAAAGTCCCATATGAAACCAGGCCTATTTTGAAGATGCAAACATCTTTGCTACCTACCCATTAGTTTTGGATAATTTCATTCTACTATTATGTAGTAAATATCCAAATGATGAGAGTAAATATCCAAATGATGAACTTTATGCGTTTGAAAATTCTGTAAAATTAACTCTTGGAAAAGAATGCACTATTGTTAGTTTTCAAATGAGAAAATGGGATGTATATGTTGTGGTCCAACGATGCAGTGGGAAATCATTTTTAATCTCTGTGCTTGGATATCTATCCCCAAATGTTCTTTTTCTTATATTTACTTGCACATGGAACAGCAGTCAGCTAATATAATTCTCTTTGTTGTTAGCTTCAAAGCATGAACCAGATGGCCGAGTCATCTTAGCTGAATTTGAGACCTTTAATTTGTTGAATACATATGCTCCAAACAATGGTTGGAAGGAGGAAGAAAATTCATTCCCAAGGAGACGAAAATGGGATAAAAGGATTTTAGAGTTTGTTCTGCAGTCTTCAGATAAGCCTCTCATATGGTGTGGTGATCTGAATGTTAGGTGAATGTTTTTCTTTCTTGCAGATGTTTTATCCCCTTAAAATCTCTTGTATCTTCCCTCCCTTTCTCCCCTTTTTTCTTGCTCTGTTCTCATCAAGTGTATCAGTTTTCTTATTGTGGAACTTATATTTTTCTTTCTTAATCTAAACTTCTATACAGCCATGAAGAGATTGATGTGAGTCATCCACATTTTTTCAGTGCAGCAAAGCTTAATGGTTACGTTCCTCCAAATAAAGAGGTGTTATATTTAATACTGAAGATACTAGAACATAATTATGGTTGCATATCCTTGTGATTAGTATGTGTTTTTGTTTTTACTAGCCATATCTTACCTACATTGTTTAAAATGTAAAGAATGAAATGAGTAGTGACCACTCTTGTGGATGCTTATGCATTTCTTTTGTCAGGAAGTATTTGGTGGTCCCATGGATTTGAACTGCTTCATTCTTATGTACATAGAATATGGAGGTTCTGATCCATCATCTGGTATTTGACATTTGAGATAAATTAGAACTTACTACAAGAACTGAAGCCATGCAGTTGTGAGATTCAAATGCTTCTCTAGGAAAAGTTACCATCATTTGTGGTGATGGTTGCACTATGAAAACCTGTCCTTGTTTCATTTGATTAACAGTGTATTGAGTTTTAGTATTAGACAATTAGTATGGGGAATGGATGCAGGATCGTGAGGCTATTGTCAAATAAAAATTTGTCCATAATATGTGGTATTGCTTTCTTGATGATGCAGGATTGTGGACAGCCTGGATTCACCTTGGCTGAGAGGAAGCGTTTTGGTAACATATTGAAAGAGTATGTGACTCCACTGGAAAACTTTGTTTCCATGGTTTGCTTGAGAATTAGTATGTTGAAAGGATAACCTTTAAATTTTTGATATTTGTGTCTCTTTTTCCCCATGAAACTGAGGCCAGTTAAAAAAAAAATCATGCCAATTTGTATCACAATTTGTGGCTGCTCTACCTGCCTCTGCCCTTGCCCTTTTTCTCCTTTTTTTGATTTCAATGGAATTAACAAAGTTGTTGAACCACTCTTTAGTTTATTTATTTTATAAGACCCCAAGTTTATTTAATGCTGCTTGTCCTGTCCATGGAAAATTGGGTATGTTAGTCATCAACTAATCAACTTGTTCTCCTGTTGGCTTTAGTTGTTACCATCTATCTTAGATTGAGTGCGCATAGAGGGAGATGGAGATGGAGGGCTGAGAAAAGGAAGAGATCTCACTGCAAAATAATTTGTTACATTTCCTATATTTAGACATAATTTACTTAAAGATAGGATTGTTGCATGTGAGATGCATGGGCTGGGGATTGAACTACAAGGTGTGTCTAATTCCATGTTGAATATTACTTCTGTTGGCTGGGTAGGGTTTTTTTTTTGGGGGTTGAGAATTACATAAATATAGCTTCGAGCACTCCTCCTGTGAGCGCAGAAATGAAATAGCATTATCTTCATAATTTCCATACATTACATTCCATGTCACTTTTGTTTTTGTTTTTTTCTTTCCTTTTGGTATTAATGCTGCTTATATCTAAATAGCAAACATTGATTCTAAACACCCTGTAGGGTTCTATGGAAGCGATCATTGCCCAGTCTCCCTTGTGCTTTCTGAAGGACATGCCAATTCCAAAGAAACTGAATTATCTGCGTAACATGTATCCATACGTTACAATGCCACTGTCATGTTTTAGAGAAAATTTACTTTCAATCTGTAGTTCTGTACTATATGGAGGATGCTATTTAGGTTAGGTTTCCTGAATGTTTCTCTAATACTTTGACAACGTGATGTGGGAAGAAAGAAGAGGGCATATTGCAATGACATTGATTGGTGTTGTTCAAATGATTTATGTAAAATGATTTGGCCCTTCAATTTCTTGTTTCGTTTTTTTTAAGAGAACCCTGATGTCAAATGATTTATGTAAAATGATTGGAAGTCTCATCCAGCTTAGAGTTCTTGCCTAGTTCTGAGCTGTTATTTGAGTCAACACACTGCATAACTGTGTTGAAAGTTTTCACTTCAATCTTATTTGCATTTGAATTATTTTTTGATCTTTCGACTATTTGTGTATGTTTTACTGCCAGCATTGAGTCTTATGTATTGATCTCTATATGCAACTATAACAATTGGCAGGGAAAGAGTAGAAAACGAGCTAGAATGGCCAAGAAAGCTGCTCCTGCTAAAAAACCAGAAAAGGCTGTCAAATTTTCTACTGTGATGGATACTAAGAATGTAAGTTAATAATAAACTGGTTTATGGGATTTTTGGTGCTTAAATTTTCCTGCAATGTTGATTGTCCTACTTATAATTTATTTAACGGATACTAATGTGACATTTTGTTCTTGCAGAGGCTGAGTTAAAAAATCAACTATGAAGCTTTGGATAACTTAAATGAAGAGCTTGTAAGCATCTTCTATATGTCTTATTTTAGAATCAATTTTGCTTTATTCATGCTTTGCAAATCCCGTATTATGTTCTGTCAACATCCAAGGTCTTGTTAACTGATGCACAGACTACAAGCGACTAAAAGCCAATCAAATCTAATGGCACGTTTAATTCGATTGTCAAATGATGTTACTTGTTCAATATATTTTTTGTTTTCTTAATGTCTGGTTAGTGTGCAGACACCAAATTCCTGTTTAATGGAATAAAGGTATATCCAAGTCACACAAATTAATCCAGGATAGAACTTAATACATAAAAGAATAATCTTTGGAAGATGGTATATTATTATTAAGCATGGATTAAGACATGAAACTGGGAACCTGAAAATCAATCTGGTGGTTTACTAGAATGATCAGTTAACTAATTGGGCAGTTAATGGGGCAGTTATATGGTTCAAAGTTTTTTTTTTTTTTTTTTTTTTTTTTATAATGATTTTGCAATGTAGTTCCTAGTTAAAAATCCTGGTAGGTTTTAGAAAATGGAGGTCTCTCTCTGCGAGTAATTCTCTGAACTTTAATAGATACCGAATTTGATTCATCTGATCTTTTTCTTCATGTGTAAAATCAGGGTTATGCACCTGCATTTGAGGAAGGCACAAACTCTAATTGTGGCAGTCTTGGTGATATGCAACTATCAAATGAGAAGAACAGTCGTAAAGAGAAAATACTATGCAGCTAGAAGAAGCAATGCAAATGCATTTCAATAGAAGCCTTGGAGTTTCAACTTCAAAACCACCGTAATTAGTTGATACTTGTAAAAATATTTAAAATAGAACCAAAGAAGAGGGGTTTACAGTATATTTTGGCCAAAAAGGAAGGGGTTTACGGCTACTAGGGAACATAGAGCCTGAAGAATTTATTAAATTTTCATGTTGGCAGACATTAAGGCCCCGTTCGGTAACGTTTTAAGGGGTTGTTTTCATTTTCAAAAAACAAAAATGAGGCAAAAACATGTTCGGTAGCCCAAAAACAGAAAACACCGAAAATGTTTTCATAAAATGAAAACAAGTTCATGTGTACTTGTAGAAAACATTAAAAAGTTGTTTTCATTCTCATGGGAAACATTTTCATAAAAAGAACTCACATATTATTATTTCAAATTGTACTACCTGACACGTTTTCATTGTTTTTGTTTTCTGAATATGTTTTCTAATTAATTTACCAGACACATTTTCATTTCTTGAAAATGCAAATTCGTTTTCTTGTTTTCATTCTCTGAAAATATTCTAAGAACATTCTCCGAAAACGTTACTGGACGGGCCCTAAATATTTCCCATGTTGTTTTGATAGTATTTTATTATTACTACCATGTTATTTGTTCCAAAAGCAGTCATAAATGTGTTTTTTTTAGTCAAAAGAGGTGAGCTAATCTTAACCAAAAAACAATCACAGGCCTGGAGACAAAGAGATTGTGGGTTAATATTTTTTGGAGTAGGATTAGCTTATAACATTTGTACTAAGTTTAGTATTTTAAAAATTTTAACACCGTACTAGAGCCCAGCCTAGCCTGTACATGGATATGATCTTATTCATAGGGGCAAAGTGAGACTCAAATACATTTTCAGGGAGTATATAAAAAAATAAGCCAAATATTAATACAAATAGATAAAATGGAATGGGAAAGTCAATAAAAAATTAATTACGATATATCATTATATTAAAAAATATTTTAAAAAAAATAGTTTGTTTAATTTGAGCCATTCATTGTACTCTAATCTAACGGTTGAAAACTTGTGTCAAATAAAAGAAGGATAATTATCCGGTAAAAGAATATTTTTGTTGAAAAAAATCGATTCTATGATGACGTTAGTAGGGCTTAGTTTCCACATCATCATACTGCTCGGCAATTCATCATCCTTGACAATTTGACATTTTGTCGTCTAAAATATCCAATAAGGCCTTGGTTTCTTTATAACTGGAATATGTTAAAAGTATAGCCGCACGGCTATACTCTTCAAATATATTCCAGACGAACACGAAGCTTGCACTCGCAGTCAATCCATTTCGCTGCATTTTATGTACTTATTTGAAAACTCTATCTTCTTTTTTTTATGTACTTAGGAAAGATGACATCAAGGAAAATATTTTGAAGCATTTTCAAATGGAACTTTTTCCATTTACCACAACTCTTTTTATATTACTTGGTTTCGGTTTTGATGATTTGCTAGCAGTATTAGACACTACCATCCAATCAAAATTCACTTCTAAATGGGGATTTTAAAGATAAACGGAGACATTAATAGACTTTTCAAGGGGCACCTACTGCAGCTGGCCCAAAATAATAGCAAATAAGGTATGGTTCCATATAGCAAGTGATTCAGCAACTTCAAAGATAAAAAGTGCATAAGCAAAAACATGTTTAAATGCAGGAGATGGAACAACATCAAGTGAAATGGCCTAAGGTTGCATGCACCCTATTAGTTAGTATTTCAGTACAAGATCATCAGACTAGGAAGGTTGATTCACTAGTGACCTGCCACATGACTGTGAAAACAGTGTAATCCTAATTCCACGCCAACCAAAAGCTCATTATCTTTCAATTTCGAACAACTTAAGTCAGTTCCGGTACCTTCCAGGATGTGGCATCCAGGGGTAGGCGCCAGGGAGCTAGGCGGCGTCTGGGCGCCCGCCTAGGAGGGTCTAGGCGGGTCTAGGCGCCCTAGGCGGGTCTAGGCGCTCTAGGCGGCTCTAAGAGAGTCTGGGCGGGCGTTTTGCCGTTGAGGCGTGGAGGAAGGGCGGTTGAAGTGCACATGATCCGCTGCTTGTTAGGAAGAAAGACGGAGAGAGAGAGATCGATCGAGACAGAGAGAGGAAGGAGAAGGCGACGCTGGGAAAAAGAAGATATCTGACATAATTTTTATATCTGAACAGTATAGCCGCTCGGCTATACTATTAATTCGAAGTAAAAAAACACGGAGTATAAAGTTGCGGCCATACTATTTTTATATATTATATTTGGACAGTATAGCCGCCTGGCTATACCATTCATTGGAATTAAAAATTTTAAAAACGGATTTTCGCCGCCAGGCTATACTATTAATTGCAGGAAAAAATATATTAAAAAAATGGCTTATAACCGCTCGATTGTACTATTTTAATATGGGTTATCAGAAAGAGGGCGAATGCCATGGATATTGTGAAAAAAAAAGCCACGCGTGTGGTGGTGGTGGTGGTAATTTTAGCCCTCCGTAGTCGGTATAGATATGCAATTATGAAGATCAATTAATTTGATGTTGCTCGAGAATTAGCTTAAGGATCGTTGCGGTAGCAGAAACTCTTTCTTCTGCGGATTCTGAGTAAGGCTCAACATATTGTCCTACAAGACTAATTCCACTTTGTCCACATTGTTTCTCTTGAAACTTCTCTCTGTGAAGCTCAAAAACAGTGGCATGGGCTAGGAGAAGGTTATGGCTCACAATGTAAGGTTCAGTGGCTGAATTGCCGGCGCTATGCATGGAAACCCTGTTGAAATTGAACACCTTCCTGGCGCAGCAATTCCATAGTCATATCCAAATTTGGCAATGATCAACTGCTCGTTGATTGTGATCCAATTTTTGACCCTATCTCCGAAAGCTGTAAAACAGATTTCAATGTAAGCCTTGAAATGATCCATAAGCACTTGTCTTCCAAACCTTTTGGTAGGTCAAAGTGCAATAAGGTCACATAGGGTGTGATCCCATTCTCGACTAATTCATCAAGAAGGCTGTTGTAGTGTTCAATGAACAAAGTATAGCCGCGCGGATGTACTGTTTGAATATAATATATTTAAAAAGTATAGCGGTGCGCCTATAACATTAATTTCAGGAAAGAATTAAAAAAGGAAACATGCAGTATAGCCGATCGGCTATACGCTTTTAATATATTATATTTATTTTAATATATTATATTTAAAAAGTATAGCTCAATTGGAATAGAAATTTAAAAAAGCACTGTGTATAGCCGCGCGGCTAGACTATTAATTTCAGGAAAAATTTAAAAACCAACCAGCTTACTTTCCATAAAATTGAAGTACCACTTTTTGTTAAAATATATACTTGAAATTTGATATCAATATTACTGTAACATTGCAATTTGCAGAAACGGTTTTGCAAAGTCTAGGAAGGCGTGTATTTGATAACAATATTCAAGTAAGGCTGCTAATAAAGAAAAAAAAAACTTGAGCTAATTAAAGTAAAGGCAACCTCATTAGACAGAATTATTTAACTATCTCTTCATTTGCTTCCTAGGGAAACCTCAAAAGGAAGGACTTCGACATATCGAAGGAGGCAGGTGGGGTTAATAGAGCAGTTGCGAGACCCTTCAAGGTTAATGTCACAGAGAATTACCTAGATATTCATTTGTTCTGGGCTGGTACGGAAACATGTTGCATACCTGAACAAGGTGATTACGGCCCGCTAATATCCGATGTCCATGTTATTTGTTCCAAAAGCAGTCATAAATGTGTTTTTTTTTTTTTTTTTTGTCAAAAGAGGTGAGCTAATATTAAACAAAAAACAATCACAGGCTAGGAAACAAAGAGACTGTGGGCTAATATTTTTTGGAGTATGATTAGCTTATAAAATTTGTACTAAGTTTAGTATTTTAAAAATTTTACACCGTACTAGAGCCCAGCCTAGCTTGTACATGGATCTGTTCTTATTCAAGGGGTAAAATGTGACTCAAATACATTTTCAAGGGTATATAAAAAATAAAAAAGAAGCCAAATATTAATATAGAGAGAGAAAATGGAATGGGAAAGTAAATAAAAAATTAATTACAATATATCATTATATTAAAAAAAAATAAAAAATAGGTTGTTTAATTTTAGCCATTCATTATACTCTAATCTAATGGTTGAAAACTTATGTCAAATAAAAGAATGATAATTATCCGGTAAAAGAATATTGTTGTTAAAAAAATCGATTCTATGATGACGTTGGTATGGCTTAGTTTCCACATCATCAAACTGCTCGGCAATTCATCATCCATGACAATTTGACATTTTGTCGTCCAAAATATCTAATAAGGCCTTGTATCTTTATAACTGGAATATGTTAAAAGTATAGCCGCACGGCTATACTCTTCAAATATATTCCAGACGAACACGAAGCTTGCACTCGCAGTCAATCCATTTCGCTTCTCTATCAACGCAAGCTTCGATTTGTTTTCTTTGGTTTCGGCTGCTTCGTCCTCCGGGTTCGGCAACGAAAAAAGACCCAACCCGCCTAGCCGGCCGCCTAGCTACCGCCTAGCCGCCTAGCGACCGCCTAGCCGCCTAGCAACCGCCTAGCGACCCACCTAGCCGCCTAGCAACCGCCTAGCCTCCTCGCGCCTACCTAGAAACCGCCTAGCCTCCTCGTGCCTACGTAGCGGCAGCCAAGCCTCCTCGAGCCGCCCTAGCGACCGCCTAGGCCGATTTTTCGAACACTGCGATTGACTGGAAGTCTGAAACAACAATGGCCTCTTTCAGCGTCCTTTGGCTTCTTTTGCAGTCTATGCTTTCTCAGCTGCTTCTGGTTTCATGTGTCCATGGCTCAAAATGCTACTACCGATCCATCTGAAGGTACAAGCCATCTTTCAGGTATAGCATAAATACGTTATCTGATGTGTACGCGATGATTGAATTGAGAATGCAGTGACGGCGTTGTTCTCAATATTCAAGCAATGGGACATGCAAGCCCTGCCTATCAGTGGAGGAGAGCAATGCATTGGATTTGCCATCAATGGAAGCGAGTTCGAAAAGCCAGAGAATAATCCACCCACATCACCAAACTGTATGTTATTACCCTACTCTCTCTCTCTCTCTCTCTCTCTCTCCATAATCTTTAGTCTTGTGTTGCTGACTGTAGCAAATCGATTAATTATCAAGTTTAGAAAACTAAGCAGAACATGACTGATATATCAATTGTAATATTAAGTGCCTAACTGCTCAATTTTTTTTCTTTCCAGTCGAGTTCATGCTCTGAACAAACGAGGGGTGTTTCCAAAAGAATTTGAGGCTTTAAGATATCTGGCCGTTTTGTATGAAGTTTTTCCAACCCCCTTCTCTGTTGTGAAAAGTTTTGTTCTTGGTTCATGACAATCAACCACATTTTCTAAGTTCGAAAATAAAGGGTAAAAATTAATGAAAGACAATAGCAGTGATCCTGAAACTGAAAGTTACCCCCTGCCCATGATCCATCAGCTTTCTTCAAGATCACTTCCATCATAGCCACTTGGTATATAGTGCTTGGTCTAGACTTATCTGTAAAGTGCTGTCTTTGATTTGGATTTGTATATGATTGTTGCTTCAATTTTTTATTTTTGGAATTTTGACATGGAAGGCATGATGCTTGTGTTTTGTAGGTTGTTGGGTCCTTAACAGCAAGCAGGCGGCACTGTTCAAAAGAATGATTTGGGAAGCAATGAACAAGGACTATGATAAGGTAATGCCTTTTGAAATCCATAAATTTTATCATATGTGTGTTCAGAAGGATTCGATGCAATGCTAGGGGCTTTCTTAGTTTCTGTTTGTTCCATGGTTTCTTTTTATTTGTTGTCTATATTTTTGGCTTTTGAGTCTTTAGATTGAAAATCATTGAGGTTATGTAGTTAATCATGATTATCAGCCCCTGCATTATTTGCCTCTTCATTCTCCTTAGCTCCGTGATTGTGCAGGAATTCTTCACTTTTAAAACTGACCTCCTTTCTTGTATTTGAGTTTATGTTTGCTGCATGTCATATGTGCATTGTGATCTGAAGCGTAGGCTTGGAAGTCTCATCCAGCTTAGAGTACTTGCCTAGTTCTGAGCTGTTATTTGAGTCACACTGCATAACTGTGTTGAAAGTTTTCACTTCAATCTTATTTGCATTTGAATTATTTTTTGATCTTTCGACTATTTGTGTATGTTTTACTGCCAGCATTGAGTCTTATGTACTGATCTCTATATGCAACTATAACAATTGGCAGGGAAAGAGTAGAAAACGAGCTAGAATGGCCAAGAAAGCTGCTCCTGCTAAAAAGCCAGAAAAGGCTGTCAAAGTTTCTACTGTGATGGATACTAAGAATGTAAGTTAATAATAAACTGGTTTATGGGATTTTTGGTGCTTAAATTTTCCTGCAATGTTGATTGTCCTACTTATAATTTATTTAACAGATACTAATGTGACATTTTGTTCTTGCTGAGGCTGAGTTCAAAAATCAACTATGAAGCTTTGGATAACTTAAATGAAGAGCTTGTAAGCATCTTCTATATGTCTTATTTTAGAATCAATTTTGCTTTATTCATGCTTTGCAAATCCCGTATTATGTTCTGTGAACATCCAAGGTCTTGTTAACTGGGAATGCTATTGAAATCTAAGCCCGCATATATCGTGAGAGAGAGAGAGAGAGAGAGAGAGAGAGAGAGAGAGAGAGAGAGCATTAAGAATGGAACGTTTAATATAAATTGCTTGGCCTGAAAAGGCATTCAGGAATTGGTCCTTGTATTAGTGAATATACAAGAAAAATCTGATTATGAGTTACCAGGGTGTTACAGCACTGTACAACCAGTTGATTAGCAACAAACAAAGCAGTTAGAGACCAGCATCATCCTCCTCCTCCTGTACACAGCAAAGTCCAAAACACATTATGTCAGGATTTGAAGAACACAGCAAACTAAAGAGTCGTCAGGGAAAATAAAGGTCAATCTTTGGATAACTTAAATGAAGAGCTTGTAAGCATCTTCTATATGTCTTATTTTAGAATCAATTTTGCTTTATTCATGCTTTGCAAATCCCATATTATGTTCTGTCAACATCCAAGGTCTTGTTAACTGATGCACAGACTACAAGTGACTAAAAGCCAATCAAAGTCAGTTTGGCACTCATTGCCAATGCCATTATGGATTTGTTGGTTTCAAGACCAAATTGATTATGTAACATGGTTTAGTTTTAAATGTATGAGGGGCCATTTTTGGTCATTTTGAATCTCATATTTCACCAAGTCTTTTTGTTTTCAAGAAATTTCTCACTTGCCCAAACTTTTGTTCCTCTTTTGCTTACTTTTTTTCTTCCCATTTGTTCATGATTCTTCTTCCTTTTCTTTTTTCATTTATTCTCTGAAAAAATATATATATATATTTGGCTTCTTGTTCATTTGCTTAAATGTTGATCAATGCACAAATCTTGCAAAAATAAAAGGTGCTCTCTGTCTCTCTCTCTCTCTCTCTCTCTCTCTCTCTCTCTCTCTCAACTGTTGATTTTTGTGGTCGATTTTACTTTTCCTCTCACACATTTTACCAAATAGGGCCGGCTGTGTTACTTGAATAAAGTAATAAAGGTGAGATTTGAGAACCATAAGCATGAGGGATTCCAAAATTAATGGCTCCCCTTATTAACTTCAGAAAGATAGTTGGGGTCTGTTGTTGTAACAATAGGCTCTCCCTAAATGATAGGATACGATCATGTGCTATAAAGTTAAAAATAAGAATTTTCGACTTTTTATTTATTTATTTATTTTACAAGCGATATTAGATGGCGAATTTGAACTCAGGACTTCTATAGAAGGATAACGACTTTGAACCGCTTAAGGTGTATCCAAGTCACACAAATTACTCCAGGATAGAACTTAATACATAAAAGAATAATCTTTGGAAGATGGTATATTATTATTAAGCATGGATTAAGACATGAAACTGGGATCTGAAAATCAATCTGGTGGTTTACTAGAATGATCAGTTAACTAATTGGGCAGTTATATGGTTCAAAGTTTTTTTTTGTTTTTGTTTTTTGTCATTTTATAATGATTTTGCAATGTAGTTCCTAGTTAAAAATCCTGGTAGGTTATAGAAAATGGAGGTCTCTCTCTGCGAGTAATTCTCTGAACTTTAATAGATACCTAATTTGATTCATCTGATCTTTTTCTTCATGTGTAAAATCAGGGTTATGCACCTGCATTTGAGGAAGGCACAAAGTCTAATTGTGGCAGTCTTGGTGATATGCAACTATCAAATGAGAAGAACAGTCGTAAAGAGAAAATACTATGCAGCTAGAAGAAGCAATGCAAATGCATTTCAATAGAAGCCTTGGAGTTTCAACTTCAAAACCACCGTAATTAGTTGATACTTGTAAAAATATTTAAAATAGAACCAAAGAAGAGGGGTTTACAGTTTATTTTGGCAAAAAAGGAAGGGGTTTACGGCTACTAGGGAACATAGAGCATGAAGAATTTATTAAATTTTCATGTTGGCAGACATTAAATATTTCCCATGTTTGTTTTGATAGTAATTTATTATTACTACCATGTTATTTGTTCCAAAAGCAGTCATAAATGTGTTTTTTTTGGTCAAAAGAGGTGAGCTAATATTAAACAAAAAACAATCACAGGCCTGGAGACAAAGAGATTGTGGGCTAATATTTTTTGGAGTAGGATTAGCTTATAACATTTGTACTAAGTTTAGTATTTTAAAAATTTTACACCGTACTAGAGCCCAGCCTAGCCTGTACATGGATATGATCTTATTTAGGGGGCAAAGTGAGACTCAAATACATTTTCAGGGAGTATATAAAAAAATAAGCCAAATATTAATACAGATAGATAAAATGGAATGGGAAAGTAAATAAAAAAGTAATTACAATATATCAGTATATTAAAAAAATATTTTAAAAAAATTAGTTTGTTTAATTTGAGCCATTCATTGTACTCTAATCTAATGGTTGAAAACTTTTGTCAAATAAAAGAAGGATAATTATCCAGTAAAAGAATATTTTTGTTAAAAAAATCGATTCTATGATGACATTAGTAGGGCTTAGTTTCCACATCATCAAACTGCTCGGCAATTCATGTTCATCATCCTTGACAATTTGACATTTTGTCGTCCAAAATATCCAATAAGGCCTTGGTTTCTTTATTGCCGATTCAAAGAGATTGGAATATTTTAAAAGTATAGCCGACCGGCTATACGCTTTAAATATATTCCAGAGAAGCTTGCACTCGCAGAGTATGGAACTCGCACTCACAGTCAATCCATTTCGCTTCTCTATCAACTCAAGCTTCAATTTGTTTCCTTTGGTTTTGGCTGCTTCGTCCTCCGGGTTCGGCAACGAAAAAAGACCCAACCCGCCAAGGCGCCCGCCTAGCTACCGCCTAGCCGCCTAGCGACCGCATAGCATCCTTGCGCCCGCCTAGCAACAGCTAGTCGCCTCGTGTTGAGATATGGGTTTATTCCAATTGATATTTGGGAATATTGTAATTGATTCTTTCCTAGTTTAGAGATAGCGTGACCTGGTGTTTAGGGTCCTAGTTTGGCTAACTGCATAATTGTGGGATCTATATTGCTGTATCAATCCCTATATATGTACCTGCACATATTGTATGTTTATATAACGGTATACAGAATTACTCATACCAGATTTTACATGGTATCAGAGCCTCAGACGGGCTCTATACTTCCGCTCAACACCTTATAGCCTACCATGGCTAAAGACGACGACAACTCGAAATCCTCCACAGATGGGGAATTTTCAAACCCTGATCACCCATATTATATTCACCAATCTGACCATCCTGGAATGGTCTTGGTCGGCAAGCCATTATCCGGAGATAACTATAGCACTTGGAGCCGCCAGTTTCGACTAGCCTTGAGCGCAAAGAACAAGACAGGCTTCCTCGATGGTTCCATCACGAAGCCGTTGAAAGCGAAGCCGGAATTTGATAGGTGGCGGCGTTGTAATGACATGGTCTTATCATGGATCTTGAGCTCACTGGAACCAGATCTTGCCAACAGTGTGATCTACACCGACTCAGCACACGAAATTTGGGCAGACCTTGAAGAGAGATTCGCGCAGACTAATGCGCCTCGGGTTTTCCCAGCTTCACAAGGAAGTAGCTACTCTTACACAAGATCAAATGCCCTTATCCACGTACTATTCGAAACTCAAGGGGTATTGGGATGAACTGTCATCCTACAACAACATGGAACCCTGCACTTGTGGGGCTTTGAAATCCATTGCAGCGCGAGAAGAGGAGCAACATTTAATGCAACTTCTGATGGGGCTCCATGAATCCTATGCAGCCATTAGAGGACAGATATTACTTATGCAACCTTTGCCCACTGCCAGCAAAGCATACAGCCTCCTTTTGCAAGAAGAGAAGCAGCGGCAAGTTGCTTCCACCCCCCAACAATACAACCAGCAACGAGAGCATGGCAATGCTCAGTATACACACTAAGAAAGGCAATACCAGCAAGCAAGGCTTTCAACAGCGGCCTTCATCATCCAATATCGGCCCATCCTTTCAACCTCGTGGAAATCCTAGAGAGCCAAAACAATGCACTTATTGCAATGGTAAAACTCATACGATCGATACTTGTTTTTTTTCTCAAAGGTTTTTCCTCCAGGTCACAAGTGGCACGGCAAGGAGGTGGTACCCAAAATTGATGACAACGGTCGCCCTTCCCAAAACCGCTCATCTCATGGGAGCAACCGACAACATACCAATGTGCATAACGTTCAGAGTCCAGATGCACAGTTTCTTCACCTACAGACCATAGCTCCTCATCTCACACTCGAGCAATGTCAGCAAATTCTTGGTACTGTTGGTAAGGAGGAAGTTTCCCAATCCCAAGCGAATTTTGCAGGTCTGGATTATCCTTTTTTGCCTCAGTTCCCAAACTAATTCTTATTTATCACATGCCTGGGTTATAGATAGTGGTGCCACAGACCATATCACCAATTCTCATGCACTCCTAACTGAAAGTTCACCCACACATCTTCCACCAGTAGGATTACCCACAGGGGAAAAAGCACCCATCACATCTATAGGCACTGTTAACTTTGATGATATTTTTCGTCTTACCGATGTCTTATGCGTCCCCTCTTTCAATGTTAGTTTATTGTCAGTCCCTCGCCTTACCGCATCACTAAATTGTTGTGTTTGTTTTTTTCCCACTTTCTGTTATATACAGGACTTGCGCACGAAGAAGATGATTGGGTTGGGTAAGAGGCATGGAAACCTGTACTATTTCGATCCACAACGCCTTGCTCCGCAGCTCCATTCTTCCTCCACATATCATGTGTCTGCTTCACACAACCTCTGGCATCTCCAATTAGGACACCCTTCCAATGCCAAACTTCGCTCTTTGTCTAAACATTTTTCTGATATTTCACTTCCTACGCATATTTGTGATTTTTGTCCTTTGGCCAAACAAACTAGGCTACCTTTCCCTTCCAGTTCAATAAAAAGTATTGCACCTTTTGATTTAATTCACTGTGACATCTGGGGTCCACATAAGATTGTTTCTCACTCTGGTGCTCGATATTTTTTAACTATTGTTGATGATTTCTCTCGTACCACATGGATTTATTTGATGAAACTGAAATCTGAAACACAAAATCTGCTCAAATCTTTTTTTTCCTTTGTGTCCACACAATTTAATAAACAAATCAAAGCTATCCGTGTGGACAATGGCGCAGAGTTTTCCTCGCTTCAAAATTTCTTTGCAGATCTTGGTGTTCTCTATCAACACACTTGTACTTACACACCCCAGCAAAACGGTGTTGTCGAACGCAAACACCGACATCTCTTGGAAATGGCTCGTGCCCTACGCTTTCATGCACACCTCCCTTCCAAATTCTGGGGGGAGTGTGTTCTCACCGCAACTTATCTCATTAACCGCTTACCTACTGCCATTTTGACCGATAAAACCCCTTACGAACTCCTTTTTGGTCATCCACCACCATATCGTCACCTTCGCGTCTTTGGTTGTCTATGTTACGCCACTAACCTTCAACCTACCAATAAATTTGATTCACGAGCTCGCAAATGCATCTTCGTTGGCTATCCTTTTGGGCAAAAGGCCTATCGTCTTTATGACCTTGACACTAAAAAATTCTTCAGCAGCCGCGATGTTATTTTTTATGAAAATATTTTTCCTTTTGCTGCTCCACACACAACCACCATCCCCATCCTCCCTACGTCCCCTTCCACTTTCAGCCCACATACGGGCTCTCATATGCCTCTTTCCTGGCCCACTCCACTTTCTGCCCATAATGAGCCACCCATACCCACACAACCTTCTGACCCACTTATTCCACCTTCTCTAGATAATGAGCCACCCATACCCACACACCCTTCTGACCCACCTATTCCACCTTTTGACCCACCTATTCCACATTCTCTAGATAACCCACACACCACCCCAAAAGATCTCACCGACCCTTCTTTTTCTCAATCCCCTCACGACACCACACTTCCTTCACCATCCTTCCCTATCACGACTCATGCTCAAAATAGTCCCACTATGCCCTCTTCTCCTACTTCATTGCCGTCATCTCTTTCTTCCCCACCTCCTCTTCGTCGCTCTCACCGTATTCCTCAACCTTCCATCCTTCTACGTGACTTTCACTGCAATGCTACCATGCCGCCTTCCCCTGCTCAGTCTTCTTCTTCCCCCACACCAGGTAAAGGTTCCAAGTATCCATTGTCCAATTTTCTCTCTTATGATCACTTGTCTTCTACTCATCGCACCTTTGTTGCAGCAATCTCCAAAATCATAGAGCCCACTACCTATGCCCAGGCTTCCATTGACCCTCTTTGGTGCAATGCCATGGCACAAGAACTCCAGGCACTTGAGCAAAATCACACATGGTCTCTTACCTCTTTACCTGCAGGAAAACACCCCATTGGCTGCAAATGGGTCTATAAGGTGAAATATCACTCTAACGGCTCTGTCGAACGCTACAAAGCGCGACTTGTCGCCAAAGGCTACACTCAACAGGAAGGTCTCGACTATACCGAGACCTTTTCTCCCCACTGCCAAGCTGGTTACATTCCGATGTCTTCTTGCTCTTGCCGCCGTCCGTAATTGGCCCCTACATCAGCTCGACGTTCAAAACACCTTCCTCCATGGTGATTTGAACGAAGAGGTATACATGACTCTCCCGCTTGGTTTTCCGCCGACAGGGGGAGAATTTGGTGTGTCGGCTACACAAATCTCTGTACGGCCTGAAACAAGCTTCACGTAATTGGTTTGCAAAGTTTACTACAGCCCTACGTGCAGCTGGTTTTGTTCAGTCCCTAGCCGATTACTCCTTATTCACAAGGTCTCAAAATAATTCATTTACTGCACTATTGATCTATGTAGATGATATTGTGATTACAGGGGATGATCCTAAAGCTATCCAGTCAATCAAAGACTTCCTCAATGTTCGCTTTCGCATCAAGGATTTGGGAAATCTCAAATACTTCTTGGGTATCGAAGTTGCACGATCAAAGAAGGGAATTTTCATTTCACAACGGAAATATGCACTGGAGATACTGGATGATGCCGGGTTGCTAGGTGCCCGGCCTTCACCTTTTCCCATGGAACAAACACTGAGACTTAGGCCTGATGAAGGCAAGCCGCTGAAAGATGCCACCAAGTACCGTCGATTAGTTGGCCGACTTATATACCTTACGGTAACCCGGCCTGACATTGCTTTTTCTGTTCACATCCTGAGCCGCTTCATGCATCAACCCCATCAGCCGCATCTAGATGCAGCACTACGAGTGTTACGTTACCTAAAGTCTTCTCCAGGCCAAGGGATTTTTTTTTGCAGCTCATAATGATTTGAAGCTCAAGGCTTTTTCTGACTCTGATTGGGGGAGTTGTCCCCACCACAAGACGATCTGTGACAGGTTACTGTACCTTCCTTGGAAACTCTCTGATCTCGTGGAAATCAAAGAAACAAAACACCATTGCACGTTCGTCTGCAGAAGCGGAGTACCGTGCCATGGCAGATGCATGTTGCGAGTTAACATGGCTGAGATATATTCTCAATGACTTGGGCATTCGGCATTCAGAACCTGCGACACTACACTGCGATAACCAGTCAGCATTACACATTGCCAAAAACCCTGTCTTTCATGAACGGACAAAACATATAGACTTGGATTGTCATTTGGTGCGACAAAATATTACATCAGGATTGGGTTTCCACTACATACACGCCAACAAATTTGCAAGTGGCAGACCTCTTCACAAAACCGTTAGGAAAGGCTTCCTTTGGAACACTACTTGGCAAGTTGGGAGTGTACAATATCCACTCGCCAACTTGAGGGGAGTGTTGAGATATGGGTTTATTCCAATTGATATTTGGGAATATTGTAATTGATTCTTTCCTAGTTTAGATATAGCGTGACCTGGTGTTTAGGGTCCTAGTTTGGCTAACTGCATAATTGTGGGATCTATATTGCTGTATCAATCCCTATATATGTACCTGCACATATTGTATGTTTATATAACGGTATACAGAATTACTCATACCAGATTTTACACCTCGTGCCTTCCTAGCGACAGCCTAGCTACCTTGAGCCCGCCTAGTGACCGCCTAGCGACCTAGCCGCCCGCCTAGGCCGATTTTTCGAACACTCTGATTGACTGAAAGTCTGAAACAACAATGGCATCTTTCAGCGTCCTTTGGCTTCTTTTGCAGTCTATGCTTTCTCAGCCGCTTCTGGTTTCATGTGTCCATGTCTCAAAATGCTACTACCGATCCATCTGAAGGTACTAGCCATCTTTCAGGTATAGCATAAATACGTTATGTGATGTGTACGAAATGATTGAATTGAGAATGCAGTGACGGTGTTGATCTCAATATTCAAGCAATGGGACATGCAAGCCCTGCCTATCAGCGGAGGAGAGCAATGCATTGGATTTGCCATCAATGGAAGCGAGTTTGAAAAGCCAGAGAATAATCCAGCCATCACTTGTGACTGTACTTATGACAAAAATACTACCTGCCGCATCACCAAACTGTGTGTTATTACCCTCTCTCTCTCTCTCTCTCTCTCTCTCTCTCTCTCCATATTCTTTAGTCTTGTGTTGTTGACTGTAGCAAATAAATTAATTATCAAGTTTAGAAAACTAAGTAGAACATGCCTGATATATCAATTGTAATATTAAGTGCCTAACTGCTCAATCTTTTTTCTTTCCAGTCGAGTTCATGCTCTGAACAAACGAGGGGTGTTTCCAAAAGAATTTGAGGCGTTATGTCTGTGTTGGATTTTGTTTCAATTCTTGTAGGAAACTTGATCGCCGGTCATTGCATTTTGTTTCATTAAAGAATCAGTGCTTCATAAGAAGCAACTTCAGGCCCTAAGAAGCAAAAACACACAAAATATGTAGTATCAATCAATAGACACAGATAGAGAACACTATGTATTGTAAACAAAACAAATTTTACAAAAAAGATCAAACCTCCTCAATGTCAAGATCAACCACCTTCAAAAGTATCAACCGTCTTAAAGTTCAACGTTTTAAGCAATGTGATACTTGATACAGTAAACATAGGCTTCACTTCCAAATCATCCATTATCGTGTACATAACGTCACTCTTGACGTATCCTCCCTTAATATTGCCGCACGCCACTCCCGTAGGTTCTGGTGGAGGAGCAACATAAAACACCTGGGCGGATATTTTGAGTGAAATGCAAGTTGGACAAGTTGTTACAGGACTCTCAGAAATATGGCACTTGCAATTTACACAGAGGTAGAACCGTTTAGGCGCATTGGAGTCATTGTTGGCTGGCAATTGAAGGATGTTAGCGCCAGAAATTGTTGTCTTGGGTTTCAGCAGGGAGTCTTTGTTAAGATTGGGTTGCATGTATGTGTCACTGAGATTTTTGAGGCTCACATAAAGTTTGCCTAAGCAACCAACCATGCCACCATTAGAGATGAGGAGCCTAGTCACAGTTGCAAAATGCAAGGACAGAAGAGTGAAGAGAAAATCCACAACTTCCCTGCTTGCTTCAGCAAACAGAACTTTGTTGCTTTTTGTGTCAATCAGGAGCTTCAAACTCACAGTACGTAGTGCTGTTGGTGGTAGCCATTCAGACAATATTGAGGACAGAGGAGAAGGGCAGCATATGCATAAGCGTTTAAAAAAAGACCCATTTATATAGGCTTAGAAAGAAGTCCTAAATTCAAAAAAATTCAAAAATGGAATGGTGAATGGATCATGAAGTGGGAGGGTCACCTCGGACCCTGCATCAGTCAACCACAAAGCCAACTCTACACGTACAAATCTGTCATTACCTATATGTAGGGAATATAGTTTACAGATGAGTGAATAAATGTGTCTTTATTACCAATATAACATTTCCATCAACTAAGCTACATTTCCAATTTCTTTTTGTGAAGCAATATACATCTTGTGGGACTATAGTTCCTCTGCAGCATGGACAAATAGGTTAGGGTTGTCTAAGACATACCAGTAACTACTGGTTGCACAACAGAACTGTTCGGCGGGCCTTTGGATCATCGGTGGTCAAAATCCGAAGGACATTAGCTCCAGCAGAAAGTGTCGTAGGTTTCAGCAAGGCCTCGTCCTTGTTAGTAGCAGGTTGTAGTATGTGTCACTGAGATTTTCAATGCTCTTGTAAAGTTTGACTAAGCTTCCACCCATGTCATCCTTGTTAGAGACAAGTTTAGTGGCAATGCCTGGAGGCAAAAGACAAGACTAAAAAGCAAATCCACAAAAGTGCTTCCCCCTTCAGCAAACAGAACTTTGTGGCCTTTTTACATGTACTTAATTTTGGCAATTGTCATTGATGCCGTCAAGAAGACTGATCAATATTTTTATTTGAAAAGCCTGAAGTGAACTAGTCGTGAATACCGGTTGATGGATAATATATTTACCCCACAACTAGGATTGTTGTTTTTCTCTCATTAATTATCATCCTCTGTTTCAGGATTTATCTTCAATAATTACATAATTAATAGATCATTATAAGGCTGCTTTTGAAGATGAGAATTCCTTATTTCACAAATGATCATCTGTATAGAAGAGAACCGCTAGCTGGGTTATAAGATTTATTTCATTCATATGACTGGGATTTAGATCTTGGACTGACTAAACATGGATCTTTATAGCTCAATTTAATTATAAATTGTATTGATCAAATCCATTCACGCATCCTAAACCAGACAAAACTGATGAATCAAATATTCTCCCTGATTTAGATGAGAGTGTTCAATGGAATCAAATTGTTACAACTTACAACCATTTTCACTTATCATTCTTTTTAAATTGGGAATGCTATTGAAATCTAAGCCCGCGTACATCGTGAGAGAGAGAGAGAGAGAGAGAGCATTAAGAATGGAAAGTTTAATATAAATTGCTTGGCCTGAAAAGGCATTCAGGAATTGGTCCTTGTATTAGTGAATATACAAGAAAAATCTGATTATGAGTTACCAGGGTGTTACAGCACTGTACAACCAGTTGATTAGCAACAAACAAAGCAGTTAGAGACCAGCATCATCCTCCTCCTCCTGTACACAGCAAAGTCCAAAACACATTATGTCAGGATTTGAAGAACACAACAAACTAAAGACTCTTCAGGGAAAATAAAGGTCAACAATCCTGATTGGAATTAATATGGACCTAGCTATTCAAACTCCTTATTTGAAAACTCTATCTTCTTTTTTTTATGTACTTAGGAAAGATGACATCAAGGAAAATATTTTGAAGCATTTTCAAATGGAACTTTTTCCATTTACCTCAACTCTTTTTATATTACTTGGTTTCGGTTTTGATGATTTGCTAGCAGTATAAGACACTACCATCCAATCAAAATTCACTTCTAAATGGGGATTTTAAAGATAAACGGAGACATTAATAGACTTTTCAAGGGGCACCTACTGCAGCTGGCCCAAAATAATAGCAAATAAGGTATGGTTCCATATAGCAAGTGATTCAGCAACTTCAAAGATAAAAAGTGCATAAGCAAAAACATGTTTAAATGCAGGAGATGGAACAAAATCAAGTGAAATGGCCTAAGGTTGCATGCACCCTATTAGTTAGTATTTCAGTACAAGATCATCAGACTAGGAAGGTTGATTCACTAGTGACCTGCCACATGACTGTGAAAACAGTGTAATCCTAATTCCACGCCAACCAAAAGCTCATTATCTTTCAATTTCGAACAACTTAAGTCAGTTCCGGTACCTTCCAGGATGTGGCATCCAGGAGTAGGCGCCAGGGAGCTAGGCGGCGTCTGGGCGCCCGCCTAGGAGGGTCTAGGCGGCTCTAGGAGCCCTAGGCGGGTCTAGGCGCTCTAGGCGGCTCTAAGAGAGTCTGGGCGGGCGTTTTGCCGTTGAGGCGTGGAGGAAGGGCGGTTGAAGTGCATAGGATCCGCTGCTTGTTAGGAAGAAAGACGGAGAGAGAGAGATCGATCGAGACAGAGAGAGGAAGGAGAAGGCGACGCTAGGAAGAAGATATCTGACCTAATTTTTATATTTGAACAGTATAGCCGATCGGCTATAATATTAAGGAAAAAAACACGGATTATAAAGTTGTGGCCATGCTATTTTTATATATTATACTTGAACAGTATAGCCGCCCGGCTATACCATTCATTGGAATAAAAAATTTTAAAAACGGATTATCGCCGCCCAGCTATACTATTAATTTCAGGAAAAAAAATTACAAAAAATGGCGTATAACCGCTCGACTGTACTCTTTTAATATGGGTTATCAGAAAAAGGGCGAATGCCATGGATATTGTGAAAAAAAAAGCCATGCGTGTGGTGGTGGTAATTTCAACCCTCCGTAGTCGGTATAGATATGCAATTATGAAGATCAATTAATTTGATGTTGCTCGAGAATTAGCTTCAGGATCGTTGCGGTAGCAGAAACTCTGTCTTCTGCGGATTCTGAGTAAGGCTAAACATATTATCCTACAAGACTAACTCCACTTTGTCCACCTTGTTTCTCTTGAAACTTCTCTTTGTAAAGCTCAACAATAGTGGCATGGGCTAGGAGAAGGTTATGGCTCACAATGTAACGTTCAGTGGCTGAATTGCTGGCGCTATGCATGGAAACCCTGTTGAAATAGAACACCTTCTTGGCGCAGCAATTCCATAGTCATATCCAAATTTGGCAATGATCAACTGCTCGTTGATTGTGATCCAATTTTTGACCCTATCTCCAAAAGTTGTAAAATTTTTTTTTTTTTTTTTTTTTTTTTTTTTTTTTTTTTTTTTTTTTTTTTTTTTTTTTTTTTTTTTTTTTTTTTTTTTTTTTTTTTTTTTTTTTTTTTTTTTTTTTTTTTTTTTTTTTTTTTTTTTTTTTTTTTTTTTTTTTTTTTTTTTTTTTTTTTTTTTTTTTTTTTTTTTTTTTTTTTTTTTTTTTTTTTTTTTTTTTTTTTTTTTTTTTTTTTTTTTTTTTTTTTTTTTTTTTTTTTTTTTTTTTTTTTTTTTTTTTTTTTTTTTTTTTTTTTTTTTTTTTTTTTTTTTTTTTTTTTTTTTTTTTTTTTTTTTTTTTTTTTTTTTTTTTTTTTTTTTTTTTTTTTTTTTTTTTTTTTTTTTTTTTTTTTTTTTTTTTTTTTTTTAAAATGGTGTCTGCTTAAGAATCAAGTAAAGTTTCAAGCTTTCATGGTGGCACCATCATCTTAAGCTTTCCTTCAAGATTTGGTTCAGATACGAAAAGCCCCAACAATCTTAAATGTTTCCTAGTTTGTTGAACAAGACTCGTAAACAAGTGCTAGGGGGAATGGTGGCTAGGGTTGTATAGGGGGGGTGGCTGTAGAGATTCCAAGGATGGGTTGGGGGTGGCTCAGGAGGGGGAGACATAGGGAGAGAGAGAATTTGTTTTTAGGAAAGAAAATCTTATTTTATTATTAAATTTTAAGGAGAGTTTGAGGTTTTTTTTTCCGAGTCTTTAAAAGTAATTTTACAAAAGGATAAATTTGTTTTTAAAACTTTGATTATAAGGTGGGTGGGGAAATAAAATAGGTGGGGTGGAAATATCAACACTCTATATCATTATATTAAAATATATATATATAGTTTGTTTAATTTTAGCCATTCATTATACTCTAATCTAATGGTTGAAAACTTATGTCAAATAAAAGAATGATAATTATCCGGTAAAAGAATATTGTTGTTAAAAAAATCGATTCTATGATGACGTTGGTATGGCTTAGTTTCCACATCATCAAACTGCTCGGCAATTCATCATCCATGACAATTTGACATTTTGTCGTCCAAAATATCTAATAAGGCCTTGTATCTTTATAACTGGAATATGTTAAAAGTATAGCCGCACGGCTATACTCTTCAAATATATTCCAGACGAACACGAAGCTTGCACTCGCAGTCAATCCATTTCGCTTCTCTATCAACGCAAGCTTCGATTTGTTTTCTTTGGTTTCGGCTGCTTCGTCCTCCGGGTTCGGCAACGAAAAAAGACCCAACCCGCCTAGCCGGCCGCCTAGCTACCGCCTAGCCGCCTAGCGACCGCCTAGCCGCCTAGCAACCGCCTAGCGACCCACCTAGCCGCCTAGCAACCGCCTAGCCTCCTCGCGCCTACCTAGAAACCGCCTAGCCTCCTCGTGCCTACGTAGCGGCAGCCAAGCCTCCTCGACCCGCCCTAGCGACCGCCTAGGCCGATTTTTCGAACACTGCGATTGACTGGAAGTCTGAAACAACAATGGCCTCTTTCAGCGTCCTTTGGCTTCTTTTGCAGTCTATGCTTTCTCAGCTGCTTCTGGTTTCATGTGTCCATGGCTCAAAATGCTACTACCGATCCATCTGAAGGTACAAGCCATCTTTCAGGTATAGCATAAATACGTTATGTGATGTGTACGCGATGATTGAATTGAGAATGCAGTGACGGCGTTGTTCTCAATATTCAAGCAATGGGACATGCAAGCCCTGCCTATCAGTGGAGGAGAGCAATGCATTGGATTTGCCATCAATGGAAGCGAGTTCGAAAAGCCAGAGAATAATCCAGCCACATCACCAAACTGTATGTTATTACCCTACTCTCTCTCTCTCTCTCTCTCTCTCTCTCTCTCTCTCTCTCTCTCCATAATCTTTAGTCTTGTGTTGCTGACTGTAGCAAATCGATTAATTATCAAGTTTAGAAAACTAAGCAGAACATGACTGATATATCAATTGTAATATTAAGTGCCTAACTGCTCAATTTTTTTTCTTTCCAGTCGAGTTCATGCTCTGAACAAACGAGGGGTGTTTCCAAAAGAATTTGAGGCTTTAAGATATCTGGCCGTTTTGTATGAAGTTTTTCCAACCCCCTTCTCTGTTGTGAAAAGTTTTGTTCTTGGTTCATGACAATCAACCACATTTTCTAAGTTAGAAAATAAAGGGTAAAAATTAATGAAAGACAATAGCAGTGATCCTGAAACTGAAAGTTATCCCCTGCCCATGATCCATCAGCTTTCTTCAAGATCACTTCCATCATAGCCACTTGGTATATAGTGCTTGGTCTAGACTTATCTGTAAAGTGCTGTCTTTGATTTGGATTTGTATATGATTGTTGCTTCAATTTTTTATTTTTGGAATTTTGACATGGAAGGCATGATGCTTGTGGTTTGTAGGTTGTTGGGTACCTTAACAGCAAGCAGGCGGCACTGTTCAAAAGAATGATTTGGGAAGCAATGAACAAGGACTATGATAAGGTAATGCCTTTTGAAATCCATAAATTTTATCATATGTGTGTTCAGAAGGATTCGATGCAATGCTAGGGGCTTTCTTAGTTTCTGTTTGTTCCATGGTTTCTTTTTATTTGTTGTCTATATTTTTGGCTTTTGAGTCTTTAGATTGAAAATCATTGAGGTTATGTAGTTAATCATGATTATCAGCCCCTGCATTATTTGCCTCTTCATTCTCCTTAGCTCTGTGATTGTGCAGGAATTCTTCACTTTTAAAACCGACCTCCTTTCTTGTATTTGAGTTTATGTTTGCTGCATGTCATGTGTGCATTGTGATCTGAAGCATAGGCTTGGAAGTCTCATCCAGCTTAGAGTTCTTGCCTAGTTCTAAGCTGTTATTTGAGTCACACACTGCATAACTGTGTTGAAAGTTTTCACTTCAATCTTATTTGCATTGGAATTATTTTTTGATCTTTCGACTATTTGTGTATGTTTTACTGCCAGCATTGAGTCTTATGTATTGATCTCTATATGCAACTATAACAATTGGCAGGGAAAGAGTAGAAAACGAGCTAGAATGGCCAAGAAAGCTGTTCCTGCTAAAAAGCCAGAAAAGGCTGTCAAAGTTTCTACTGTGATGGATACTAAGAATGTAAGTTAATAATAAACTGGTTTATGGGATTTTTGGTTCTTAAATTTTCCTGCAATGTTGATTGTCCTACGTATAATTTATTTAACAGATACTAATGTGACATTTTGTTCTTGCAGAGGCTGAGTTCAAAAATCAACTATGAAGCTTTGGATAACTTAAATGAAGAGCTTGTTCGCATCTTCTATATGTCTTATTTTAGAATCAATTTTGCTTTATTCATGCTTTGCAAATCCCGTATTATGTTCTGTCAACATCCAAGGTCTTGTTAACTGATGCACAGACTACAAGCGACTAAAAGCCAATCAAATCTAGTGGTACGTTTAATTCGATTGTCAAATGATGTTACTTGTTCAATATATTTTTTGTTTTTTAATGTCTGGTTAGTGTGCAGACACCAAATTCCTGTTTAATGAACTTAATACATAAAAGAATAATCTTGCAATGTAGTTCCCAGTTAAAAATCCTGGTAGGTTTTAGAAAATGGAGGTCTCTCTCTGCGAGTAATTCCCTGAACTTTAATAGGTGCCGAATTTGATTCATCTGATCTTTTTCTTCATGTGTAAATTCAGGGTTATGCACCTGCATTTGAGGAAGGCACAAAGTCTAATTGTGGCAGTCTTGGTGATATGTAACTATCCAAATGAGAAGAACAGTCGTAAAGAGGCTGAAGCCAGACAAGGCCAAGATGACGATTCATATGTTGCAAATGACAAATATAATGGATACAATTAAAATATTTCAAAACCAGAAAGTAACAAATAAAATAATAAAATATTTCCATGTTTACGGCTACTAGGGAACATAGAGCATGAAGAATTTATTAAATTTTCATGTTGGCAGACATTAAATATTTCCCATGTTTGTTTTGATAGTAATTTATTATTACTACCATGTTATTTGTTCCAAAAGCAATCATAAATGTGTTTTGTTTAGTCAAAAGAGGTGAGCTAATATTAAACAAAAAACAATCACAGGCGTGGAGACAAAGAGATTGTGGGCTAATATTTTTTGGAGTAGGATTAGCTTATAACATTTGTACTAAGTTTAGTATTTTAAAAAGAATAATGCTACTCTTACCACATTTGTATATCACATTCTCATACCACCTTATGTGGCAGCTGAGGTGGATAGCCACATCAATTAAAATGATTTAATATTTTCTTTTCTTTTATGGTTTATTCCAGTATTTATTTTTCTAATTGACTTAATTAAAATGCACTTCATTGATTTAATTGATGTGGCATATAAAATAGACATGCCACATCATGTGGTATAGAAATGTGGGATAAAAATGTGGTAAGTGTAGCATTACTCTTTTAAAAATTTTACACCGTACTAGAGCCATGCTTAGCCTGTACATGGATATGATCTTATTCAGGGGGCAAAGTGAGACTCAAATACATTTTCAGGGAGTATATAAAAAAATAAGCCAAATATTAATACAGATAGATCAAATGGAATGGGAAAGTCAATAAAACATTAATTACAATATATCATTATATTAAAAAATATTTTAAAAAAATTAGTTTGTTTAATTTGAGCCATTCATTGTACTCTAATCTAATGGTTGAAAACTTTTGTCAAATAAAAGAAGGATAATTATCCAATAAAAGAATATTTTTGTTAAAAAAATCGATTCTATGATGACGTTAGTAGGGCTTAGTTTGCACATCATCAAACTGCTCGGCAATTCATGTTCATCATCCTTGACAATTTGACATTTTGTCGTCCAAAATATCCAATAAGGCCTTGGTTTCTTTTTTGCCGATTCAAAGAGATTGGAATATTTTAACAGTATAGCCGACCGGCTATACTCTTTAAATATATTCCAGAAGAACACGAAGCTTGCACTCGCAGAGTATGGAACTCGCACTCACAGTCAATCCATTTCGCTTCTCTATCAACTCAAGCTACAATTTGTTTTCTTTGGTTTTGGCTGCTTCGTCCTCCGGGTTCGGCAACGAAAAAAGACCCAATCCGCCAAGGCGCCCGCCTAGCTACCGCCTAGCCGCCTAGCGACCGCCTAGCATCCTTGTGCCCGCCTAGCGACCGCCAAGCCGCCTAGCAACCGCCTAGCAACAGCCTAGTCGCCTCGCGCCTTCCTAGCTACAGCCTAGCCGCCTCGAGCCCGCCTGGCGAACGCCTAGCCACCTAGCCGCCCGCCTAGGCCGATTTTTCGAACACTCTGATTGGCTGAAAGTCTGAAACAACAATGGCCTCTTTCAGCGTCCTTTGGCTTCTTTTGCAGTCTATGCTTTCTCAGCTGCTTCTGGTTTCATGTGTCCATGGCTCAAAATGCTACTACCGATCCATCTGAAGGTACTAGCCATCTTTCAGGTATAGCATAAATACGTTATGTGATGTGTACGAAATGATTGAATTGAGAATGCAGTGACGGTGTTGATCTCAATATTCAAGCAATGGGACATGCAAGCCCTGCCTATCAGCGGAGGAGAGCAATGCATTGGATTTGCCATCAATGGAAGCGAGTTTGAAAAGCCAGAGAATAATCCAGCCATCACTTGTGACTGTACTTATGACAAAAATACTACCTACCGCATCACCAAACTGTGTGTTATTACCCTCTCTCTCTCTCTCTCTCCATATTCTTCAGTCTTGTGTTGTTGACTGTAGCAAATAAATTAATTATCAAGTTTAGAAAACTAAGCAGAACATGCCTGATATATCAATTGTAATATTAAGTGCCTAACTGCTCAATCTTTTTTCTTTCCAGTCGAGTTCATGCTCTGAACAAACGAGGGGTGTTTCCAAAAGAATTTGAGGCGTTATGTGTGCGTTGGATTTTGTTTCAATTCTTGTAGGAAACTTGATCGCCGGTCATTGCATTTTGTTTCGTTAAAGAATCAGTGCTTCATAAGAAGCAACTTCAGTCCCTAAGAAGCAAAAACACACACAAAATATGTAGTATCAATCAATAGACACAGATAGAGAACACTATGTATTGTAAACAAAACAAATTTTACAAAAAAGATCAAACCTCCTCAATGTCAAGATCAACCACCTTCAAAAGTATCAACCGTCTTAAAGTTCAACGTTTTAAGCAATGTGATACTTGATACCGTAAACATAGGCTTCACTTCCAAATCATCCATTATCGTGTACATAACGTCACTCTTGACGTATCCTCCCTTAATATTTCCGCACGCCACTCCAGTAGGTTCTGGTGGAGGAGCAACATAAAACACCTGGGCGGATATTTTGAGTGAAATGCAAGTTGGACAAGTTGTTACAGGACTCTCAGAAATATGGCGCTTGCAATTTACACAGAGGTAGAACCGTTTAGGCGCATTCGAGTCATTGTTGGCTGGCAATTGAAGGATGTTAGCGCCAGAAATTGTTGTCTTGGGTTTCAGCAGGGAGTCTTTGTTAAGATTGGGTTGCATGTATGTGTCACTGAGATTTTTGAGGCTCTCATAAAGTTTGCCTAAGCAACCAACCATGCCACCATTAGAGAGGAGGAGCCTAGTCACAGTTGCAAAATGCAAGGACAGAAGAGTGAAGAGAAAATTCACAACTTCCTTGCTTGCTTCAGCAAACAGAACTTTGTTGCTTTTTGTGTCAATCAGGAGCTTCAAACTCACAGTACGTAGCGCTGTTGGTGGTAGCCATTCAGGCAATATTGAGGACAGAGGAGAAGGGCAGCATATGCATAAGCGTTTAAAAAAAGACCCATTTATATAGGCTTAGAAAGAAGTCCTAAATTCAAAAAAATTCAAAAATGGAATGGTGAATGGATCATGAAGTGGGAGGGTCACCTCGGACCCTGCATCAGTCAACCACAAAGCCAACTCTACACGTACAAATCTGTCATTACCTATATGTAGGGAATATAGTTTACAGATGAGTGAATAAATGTGTCTTTATTACCAATATAACATTTCCATCAACTAAGCTACATTTCCAATTTCTTTTTGTGAAGCAATATACATCTTGTGGGACTATAGTTCCTCTGCAGCGTGGACAAATAGCTTAGGGTTGTCTGAGACATACCAGTAACTACTGGTTGCACAACAGAACTGTTCGGCGGGCCTTTGGATCATCGGTGGTCAAAATCCGAAGGACATTAGCTCCAGCAGAAAGTGTCGTAGGTTTCAGCAAGGCCTCGTCCTTGTTAGTAGCAGGTTGTAGTATGTGTCACTGAGATTTTCAATGCTCTTGTAAAGTTTGACTAAGCTTCCACCCATGTCATCCTTGTTAGAGACGAGTTTAGTGGCAATGCCTAGAGGCAAAAGACAAGACTAAAAAGCAAATCCACAAAAGTGCTTCCCCCTTCAGCAAACAGAACTTTGTGGCCTTTTTACATGTACTTAATTTTGGCAATTGCCATTGATGCCGTCAAGAAGACTGATCAATAATTTTATTTGAAAAGCCTGAAGTGAACTGGTCGTGAATACCGGTTAATGGATAATATATTTACCCCACAACTAGGATTGTTGTTTTTATCTCATTAATTATCATCCTCTGTTTCAGGATTTATCTTCAATAATTACATAATTAATAGATCATTATACGGCTGCTTTTGAAGATGAGAATTCCTTATTTCACAAATGATAATCTGTATAGAAGAGAACCGCTAGCTGGGTTATAAGATTTATTTCATTCATATGACTGGGATTTAGATCTTGGACTGACTAAACATGGATCTTTATAGCTCAATTTAATTATAAATTGTATTGATCAAATCCATTCACGCATCCTAAACCAGAAAAAATGATCGATGAATCAAATATTCTCCCTGATTTAGATGAGAGTCTTCAATGGAATCAAATTGTTACAACTTACAACCATTTTCACTTATCATTCTTTTTAAGTTGGGAATGCTATTGAAATCTAAGCCCGCGTACATCGTGAGAGAGAGAGAGAGAGAGAGAGAGAGAGAGAGAGAGAGAGCATTAAGAATGGAACGTTTAATATAAATTTCTTGGCCTGAAAAGGCATTCAGGAATTGGTCCTTTATTAGTGAATATACAAGAAAAATATGATTATGAGTTACCAGGTGTTACAGCACTGTACAACCAGTTGATTAGCAACAAACAAAGCAGTTAGAGACCAGCATCATCCTCCTCCTCCTGTACACAGCAAAGTCCAAAACACATTATGTCAGGATTTGAAGAACACAACAAACTAAAGACTCGTCAGGGAAAATAAAGGTCAACAATCCTGATTGGAATTAATATGGACCTAGCTATTCAAAATCCCTATTTGAAAACTCTATCTTCTTTTTTTTATGTACTTAGGAAAGATGACATCAAGGAAAATATTTTGAAGCATTTTCAAATGGAATTTTTTCCATTTACCTCAACTCTTTTATATTACTTGGTTTCGGTTTTGATGATTTGCTAGCAGTATAAGACACTACCATCCAATCAAAATTCACTTCTAATTGGGGATTTTAAAGATAAACGGAGACATTAATAGACTTTTCAAGGGGCACCTACTGCAGCTGGCCCAAAATAATAGCAAATAAGGTCTGGTTCCATATAGCAAGTGATTCCGCAACTTCAAAGATAAAAAGTGCATAAGCAAAAACATGTTTAAATGCAGGAGATGGAACAAAATCAAGTGAAATGGCCTAAGGTTGCATGCACCCTATTAGTTAGTATTTCAGTACAAGATCATCAGACTAGGAAGGTTGATTCACTAGTGACCTGCCACATGACTGTGAAAACAGTGTAATCCTAATTCCACGCCAACCAAAAGCTCATTATCTTTCAATTTCGAACAACTTAAGTCAGTTCCGGTAGGTACCCTTCCAGGATGTGGCATCCAGGGGTAGGCGCCAGGGAGCTAGGCGGCGTCTGGGCGCCCGCCCAGGTGGCTCTAGGCGCCCCAAGGAGGGTCTAGGCGGCCCTTACTCTTTTAATGTGGGTTATCAGAAAGAGGGCGAATGCCATGGATATTGTGAAAAAAAAGCCATGCGTGTGGTGGTGGTGGTGGTAATTTCAACCCTCCGTAGTCGGTATAGATATGCAATTATGAATATCAATTAATTTGATGTTGCTCGAGAATTAGCTTAAGGATCGTTGCGGTAGCAGAAACTCTGTCCTCAGCGGATTCTGAGTAAGGCTCAACATATTGTCCTACAAGACTAATTCCACTTTGTCCACCTTGTTTCTCTTGAAACTTCTTTCTGTAAAGCTCAACAACAATGGCATGGGCTAGGAGAAGGTTATGGCTCACAATGTAAGGTTCAGTGGCTGAATTGCCGGAGCTATGCATGGAAACCTTGTTGAAATAGAACGCCTTCCTGGCGCAGCAATTCCATAGTCATATCCAAATTTGGCAATTCCCTATCTCCGGAAGTTGTAAAACAGATTTCAATGTAAGCCTTGAAATGATCCACAAAAGAACGGTTCAAAGGGTCTAAGTACTTGTCTTCCAAACCTTTTGGTAGGTCAAAGTGCCATAAGGTCACATAGGGTGTGATCCCATTCTCGACTAATTCATCAAGAAGGCTGTTGTAGTGTTCAATGAACAAAGTATAGCCGCCCGGCGGTACTGTTTGAATATAATATATTTAAAAGGTATTGCGGTGCGCCGATGCCATTAATTTCAGGAAATAATTAAAAAAGGAAACAAGAAGTATAGCCGAGCGGCTATACGTTTTTAATATAATATATTAGGGTTTAATATATTATATTTAAAAGTATAGCCGAATAGCCGAGCGCCTATACTATTAATTTCAGGAAAAATATAAAAACCAGCTTACTTTCCATAAAATTGAAGTACCACTTTTTGTTAAAATATATACATGAAATTTGAGGCCTCAAAAGTAAAATAAAAGAAAGTTCAAAAGAGAATCCTGGAGCCACAAACAACTTGCATAATTTTGAAGACAAACCATATATAGCAAGTCTTTCAAAAGACTTTCTGGCTAGAAGACCATAATTGCTAACCCATGGGTGCACGTCTAGATCATTTTTGGGTGCACGTCAAAAACTGCTAACCCATTATGTGTAAGGAAATAAATGGAGTAAAGCTTATACTGTAACATTGCAATTTGCAGAAACGGTTTTGCAAAGTCTAGGAAGGCGTGTATTTGATATCAATATTCAAGTAAGGCTGCTAATAAAGAAAAAAAAAACTTAAGCTAATTAAAGTAAAGGCAACCTCATTAGACAGAATTATTTAACTATCTCTTCATTTGCTTCCTAGGGGAACCTCAAAAGGAAGGACTTCGACATATCGAAGGAGGCAGGTGGGGTTAACAGAGCAGTTGCGAGACCCTTCAAGGTTAATGTGACAGAGAATTACCTAGATATTCATTTGTTGCTGGTTGTTGCATACTTGAACAAGGTGATTACGGCCCGCTGTCCATGTTATTTGTTCCAAAAACAGTCATAAATGTGTTTTTTTTTGGTCAAAAGAGGTGAGCTAATATTAAACAAAAAACAAACGCAACCCAGGAAACAAAGAGATTGTGGGCTAATATTTTTTGGAGTAGGATTAGCTTATAAAATTTGTACTAAGTTTAGTATTTTAAAAATTTTACACCGTACTAGAGCCCAGCCTAGCTTGTACATGGATCCCTTCTTATTCAAGGGGCAAAATGTGACTCAAATACATTTTCAGGGGTATATAAAAAATAAAAAAAAATAAAAAAGAAGCCAAATATTAATATAGAGAGAGAAAATGGAATGGGAAAGTCAATAAAAAATTAATTACAATATATCATTATATTAAAAAATAAAAAATAAAAATTAGTTTGTTTAATTTTAGCAATTCATTGTACTCTAATCTAATGGTTGAAAACTTATGTCAAATAAAAGAAGGATAATTATCTAGTAAAAGAATATTTTTGTTAAAAAAATCGATTCTATGATGACGTTGGTATGGCTTAGTTTCCACATCATCAAACTGCTCGGCAATTCATCATCCTTGACAATTTGACATTTTGTCGTCCAAAATATCCAATAAGGCCTTGTATCTTTATACTGACTGGAATATTTTAAAAGTATAGCCGCACGGCTATACTCTTTAAATATATTCCAGCCGAACACGAAGCTTGCACTCGCAGTCAATCCATTTCGCTTCTCTATCAACGCAAGCTTCGATTTGTTTTCTTTGGTTTCGGCTGCTTCGTCCTCCGGGTTCGGCAACGAAAAAAGACCCAACCCGCCTAGCCGGCCGCCTAGCCGCCTAGCGACCGCCTAGCCGCCTAGCAACCGCCTAGCGACCCACCTAGCCGCTTAGCAACCGCCTAGCCTCCTCGCGCCTACCTAGCGACAGCCTAGCCTCCTCGAGCCCGCCTAGCCACCTAGCCGCCCGCCTAGGCCGATTTTTCGAACACTGCGATTGACTGAAAGTCTGAAACAACAATGGCCTCTTTCAGCGTCCTTTGGCTGTTTTTGCAGTCTATGCTTTCTCAGCTGCTTCTGGTTTCATGTGTCCATGACTCAAAATGCTACTACCGATCCATCTGAAGGTACTAGCCATCTTTCAGGTATAGCATAAATACGTTATGTGATGTGTACGCGATGATTGAATTGAGAATGCAGTGACGGCGTTGATCTCAATATTCAAGCAATGGGACATGCAAGCCCTGCCTATCAGTCGAGGAGAGCAATGCATTGGATTTTCCATCAATGGAAGCGAGTTTGAAAAGCCAGAGAATAATCCAGCCACATCACCAAACTGTATGTTATTACCCTACTCCCTCTCTCTCTCTCCCTAATCTTTAGTCTTGTGTTGTTGACTGTAGCAAATCGATTAATTATCAAGTTTAGAAAACCAAGCAGAACATGCCTGATATATCAATTGTAATATTAAGTGCCTAACTGCTCAATTTTTTTCTTTCCAGTCGAGTTCATGCTCTGAACAAACAAGGGCTTTATGATATCTGGCCGTTCTGTATGAAGTTTTTCCAACCCCCTTCTCTGTTCTGAAAAGTTTTGTTCTTTGTTCATAACAATCAACCACATTTTCTAAGTTCGAAAATAAAGGGTAAAAATTAATGAAAGACAATAGCAGTGATCCTGAAACTGAAAGTTACCCCTGCCCATGATCCATCAGCTTTCGTCAAGATCACTTCCATCATAGCCACTTGGTATATAGTGCTTGGTCTAGACTTATCTGTAAAGTGCTGTCTTTGATTTGGATTTGTATATGATTGTTGCTTCAATTTTTTATTTTTGGAATTTTGACATGGAGGGCATGATGCTTGTGGTTTGTAGGTTGTTGGGTACCTTAACAGCAAGCAGGCGGCACTGTTCAAAAGAATGATTTGGGAAGCAATGAACAAGGACTATGATAAGGTAATGCCTTTGGAAATCCATAAATTTTATCATGTGTGTTCAGAAGGATTCGATGCAATGCTAGGGGCTTTCTTAGTTTCTGTTTGTTCCATGGTTTCTTTTTATTTGTTGTCTATATTTTTGGCTTTTGAGTCTTTAGATTGAAAATCATTGAGGTTATGTAGTTAATCATGATTATCAGCCCCTGCATTATTTGCCTCTTCATTCTCCTTAGCTCTGTGATTGTGCAGGAATTCTTCACTTTTAAAACCGACCTCCTTTCTTGTATTTGAGTTTATGTTTGCTGCATGTCATATGTGCATTGTGATCTGAAGCATAGGCTTGGAAGTCTCATCCGGCTTAGAGTTCTTGCCTAGTTCTGAGCTGTTATTTGAGTCACACACTGCATAACTCTGTTGAAAGTTTTGAGTCTTATGTATTGAGTATTTCAATCTTATATGCATTTGAATTATTTTTTGGCTTTTGAGTATTTCAATCTTATATGCATTTGAATTATTTTTTGATCTTTCGACTATTTGTGTATGTTTTACTGCCAGCATTGAGTCTTATGTATTGATCTCTATATGCAACTATAACAATTGGCAGGGAAAGAGTAGAAAACGAGCTAGAATGGCCAAGAAAGCTGCTCCTGCTAAAAAGCCAGAAAAGGCTGTCAAAGTTTCTACTGTGATGGATACTAAGAATGTAAGTTAATAATAAACTGGTTTATGGGATTTTTGGTGCTTAAATTTTCCTGCAATGTTGATTGTCCTACTTATAATTTATTTAACAGATACTAATGTGACATTTTGTTCTTGCAGAGGCTGAGTTCAAAAATCAACTATGAAGCTTTGGATAACTTAAATGAAGAGCTTGTAAGCATCTTCTATGTGTCTTAATTTAGAATCAATTTTGCTTTATTCATGCTTTGCAAATCCCGTATTATGTTCTGTCAACATCCAAGGTGTTGTTAACTGATGCACAGACTACAAGCGACTAAAAGCCAATCAAATCTAATGGCACGTTTAATTCGATTGTGAAACGATGTTACTTGTTCAATATATTTTTTGTTTTCTTAGTGTCTGGTTAGTATGCAGACACCAAATTCCTGTTTAATGAACTTAATACATAAAAGAATAATCTTGCAATGTAGTTCCCAGTTAAAAATCCTGGTAGGTTTTAGAAAATGGAGGTCTCTCTCTGCGAGTAATTCTCTGAACTTTAATAGATGCTGAGGAGAAGGGCAGCATATGCATAAGCGTTTAAAAAAAGACCCATTTATATAGGCTTAGAAAGAAGTCCTAAATTCAAAAAAATTCAAAAATGGAATGGTGAATGGATCATGAAGAGGGTCACCTCGGACCCTGCATCAGTCAACCACAAAGCCAACTCTACAGGTACAAATCTGTCATTACCTATATGTAGGGAATATAGTTTACAGATGAGTGAATAAATGTGTCTTTATTACCAATATAACATTTCCATCAACTAAGCTACATTTCCAATTTCTTTTTGTGAAGCAATATACATCTTGTGGGACTATAGTTCCTCTGCAGCGTGGACCAATAGCTTAGGGTTGTCTGAGACATACCAGTAACTGGTTGCACAACAGAACTGTTCGGCGGGCCTTTGGATCATCGGTGGTCAAATCCAAAGGACATTAGCTCCAGCAGAAAGTGTCGTAGGTTTCAGCAAGGCCTCGTCCTTGTTAGTAGCAGGTTGTAGTATGTGTCACTAAGATTTTCAATGCTCTTGTAAAGTTTGACTAAGCTTCCACCCATGTCATCCTTGTTAGAGACGAGTTTAGTGGCAATGCCTAGAGGCAAAAGACAAGACTAAAAAGCAAATCCACAAAAGTGCTTCCCCCTTCAGCAAACAAAACTTTGTGGCCTTTTTACATGTACTTAATTTTGGCAATTGCCATTGATGCCGTTAAGAAGACTGATCAATAATTTTATTTGAAAAGTCTGAAGTGAACTGGTCGTGAATACCGGTTGATGGATATTATATTTACCCCACAACTAGGATTGTTGTTTTTATCTCATTAATTATCATCCTCTGTTTCAGGATTTATCTTCAATAATTACATAATTAATAGATCCTTATAAGGCTGCTCTTGAAGATGAGAATTCCTTATTTCACAAATGATCATCTGTATAGAAGAGAACCGCTAGCTGGGCTATAAGATTTATTTCATTCACATGACTGGGATTTAGATCTTGGACTGACTAAACATGGATCTTTATAGCTCAATTTAATTATAAATTGTATTGATCAAATCCATTCACGCATCCTAAACCAGACAAAACTGATAGATGAATCAAATATTCTCCCTGATTTCGATGAGAGTCTTCAATGGAATCAAATTGTTACAACTTACAACCATTTTCACTTATCATTCTTTTTAAGTTGGGAATGCTATTGAAATCTAAGCCCGCGTACATCGTGAGAGAGAGAGCATTAAGAATGGAACGTTTAATATAAATTGCTTGGCCTGAAAAGGCATTCAGGAATTGGTCAGCAGGTGTTACAGCACTGTACAACCAGTTGATTAGCAACAAACAAAGCAGTTAGAGACCAGCATCATCCTCCTCCTCCTGTACACAGCAAAGTCCAAAACACATTATGTCAGGATTTGAAGAACACAGCAAACTAAAGACTCGTCAGGGAAAATAAAGGTCAACAATCCTGATTGGAATTAATATGGACCTAGCTATTCAAAATCCCTATTTGAAAACTCTATCTTCTTTTTTTTATGTACTCAGGAAAGATGACATCAAGGAAAATATTTTGAAGCATTTTCAAATGGAATTTTTTCCATTTACCTCAACTCTTTTTATATTACTTGGTTTCGGTTTTGATGATTTGCTAGCAGTATAAGACACTACCATCCAATCAAAATTCACTTCTAATTGGGGATTTTAAAGAAAAACGGAGACATTAATAGACTTTTCAAGGGGCACCTACTGCAGCTGGCCCAAAATAATAGCAAATAAGGTCTGGTTCAGCAACTTCAAAGATAAAAAGTGCATAAGCAAAAACATGTTTAAATGCCGGAGATGGAACAAAATCAAGTGAAATGGCCGAAGGTTGCATGCACCCTATTACTTAGTGTTTCAGTACAAGATCATCAGACTAGGAAGGTTGATTCACTAGTGACCTGCCACATGACTATGAAAATAGTGTAATCCTAATTCCACGCCAACCAAAAGCTCATTATCTTTCAATTTCGAACTAACTTAAGTCAGTTCCGGTACACCAAGAGGCACCCTTCCAGGTGTGGCATCCAAGGGTAGGCGCCAGGGAGCTAGGCAGCGTTTGGGCGCCCGCCTAGGAGGGTCTAGGCAGCTCTAGGCGGCTCTAGGAAGGTCTAGGCGGCTCTAGGCGCCCTAGGCGGCTCTAGGCGCTCTAGGCGGCTCTAAGAGGGTCTGGGCGGGCGTTTTGCCGTTGAGGCGTGGACGAAGGGCGGTTGAAGTGCACAGGATCCGCTGCTTGTTAGGAAGAAAGACGGAGAGAGAGAGATCGATCGAGACAGAGAGAGGAAGGAGAAGGCGACGCTGGGAAGAAGAAGATATCTGACATAATTTTTATATTTGAACAGTATAGCCGATCGGCTATACTATTAATTCGAAGTAAAAAAACACGGAGTATAAAGTTGCGGCCATACTATTTTTATATATTATATTTGAATAGTATAGCCGACGGGCTATACCATTCATTGGAATTAAAAATTTTAAAAAAGGATTTTCGCCGCTAGGCTATACTATTAATTTCAGGAAATAAAAATTAAAAAAATGGCTTATAACCAATCGATTGTACTCTTTTAAAATGGGTTATCAAAAAGAGGGCTAATGCCATGGATATTGAAATAAAAAAAAAAAAAAAAAGCCATGTGGTGGTGGTGGTGGTGGTAATTTCAAGCCTCTGTAGTCAGTATAGATATGCAATTATGAAGATCAATTAATTTGATGTTGCTCGAGAATTAGCTTAAGGATCGTTGCGGTAGCAGAAACTCTGTCCTCTGCGGATTCTGAGTAAGGCTCAACATATTGTCCTACAAGACTAATTCCACTTTGTCCACCTTGTTTCTCTTGAAACTTCTCTCTGTAAAGCTCAACAACAGTGGCATGGGCCAGGAGAAGGTTATGGCTCACGGTGTAAGGTTCAGTGGCTGAATTGCCGGCACTATGCATGGAAACCCTGTTGAAATAGAACACCTTCCTGGCATAGAAATTCCATAGTCATATGCAAATTTGGCAATGATCAACTGCTCGTTGATTGTGATCCAATTTTTTACCCTATCTAAGAAAGTTGTAAAACAGATTTCAATGTAAGCCTTGAAATGATCCACAAAAGAACGGTTCAGAGGATCTAAGACTTGTCTTCCAAACCTTGTGGTAGGTCAAAGTGCAATAAGGTCACATAGGGTGTGATCCCATTCTCGACTAATTCATCAAGAAGGGTGTTGTAGTGTTCAATGAACAAAGTATAGGCAACCTCATTAGACAGAATTATTTAACTATCTCTTCATTTGCTTCCTAGGGAAACCTCAAAAGGAAGGACTTCGACATATCGAAGGAGGCAGGTGGGGTTAACAGAGCAGTTGCAAGACCCTTCAAGGTTAATGTGACAGAGAATTACGTAGATATTCATCTGTTCTGGGCTGGTTGTTGCATACCTGAACAAGGTGATTACGACCCACTGTCCATGTTATTTGTTCCAAAAGCAGTCATAAAAAAAGAGGTGAGCTAATATTAAACAAAAAACAATCACAAGCCAGGAAACAAAGAGATTGTGGGCTAATATTTTTTGGAGTAGGATTAGCTTATAAAATTTGTACTAAGTTTAGTATTTTAAAATTTTTACACCGTACTAGAGCCCAGCCCAGCTTGTACATGCATGGATTCGTTCTTATTCAAGGGGCAAAATGTGACTCAAATACATTTTCAGGGGTATATAAATTAAAAATAAAAAGCCAAATATTAATATATATATATATATAGAGAGAGAGAGAGAGAGAGAGAGAGAGAGAGAGAGAGAGAATGGAATGGGAAAGTCAATAAAAAATTAATTACAATATATCATTATATTAAAAAAATAAAAAATAGTTTGTTTAATTTTAGCCATTCATTGTACTCTAATCTAATGGTTGAAAACTTATGTCAAATAAAAGATGGATAATTATCCGGTAAAAGAATATTTTTGTTAAAAAAATCGATTCTATGATGACATAGGTATGGCTTAGTTTCCACATCATCAAACTGCTCGGCAATTCATCATCCTTGACATTTTGACATTTTGTCGTCCAAAATATCCAATAAGGCCTTGTATCTTTTTAACTGGAATATTTTAACAGTATAGCCGTTCGGCTATAATCTTTAAATATATTCCAGACGAACACGAAGCTTGCACTCGCAGTCAATCCATTTCGCTTCTCTATCAACGCAAGCTTCGATTTGTTTTCTTTGGTTTCGGCCGCTTCGTCCTCCGGGTTCGGCAACGAAAAATGACCCAACCCGCCTAGCCGCCTAGCGACCGCCTAGCCACCTAGCAACCGCCTAGCGACCCACCTAGCCGCCTAGCAACCGCCTAGCAACCGCCTAGCCTCCTCGCGCCTACCTAGCGACAGCCTAGCCTCCTAGAGCCCGCCTATCGACCGCCTAGCCACCTAGCCGCCCGCCTAGGCCGATTTTTCGAACACTGCGATTGATTGAAAGTCTGAAACAACAATGGCCTCTTTCAGCGTCCTTTGGCTTCTTTTGCAGTCTATGCTTTCTTAGCTGCTTCTGGTTTCAAAATGCTACTACCGATCCATCTGAAGGTACAAGCCATCTTTTAGGTATAGCATAAATACGTTATGTGATGTGTACGCGATGATTGAATTGAGAATGCAGTGACGGCGTTGATCTCAATATTCAAGCAATGGGACATGCAAGCCCTGCCTATCAGTGGAGGAGAGCAATGCATTGGATTTCCCATCAATGGAAGAGAGTTTGAAAAGCCAGAGAATAATCCAGCCACATCACCAAACTGTATGTTATTACCCTACTCTCTCTCTCTCTCTCTCTCTCTCCCTAATCTTTAGTCTTGTGTTGTTGACTGTAGCAAATCGATTAATTATCAAGTTTAGAAAACTAAGCAGAACATGCCTGATATATCAATTGTAATATTAACTGCCTAACTGCTCAATTTTTTTCTTTCCAGTCGAGTTCATGCTCTGAACAAACGAGGGCTTTATGATATCTGGCCGTTTTGTATGAAGTTTTTCCAACCCCCTTCTCTGTTGTGAAAAGTTTTGTTCTTGGTTCATGACAATCAACCACATTTTCTAAGTTCGAAAATAAAGGGTAAAAATTAATGAAAGACAATAGCAGTGGTCCTGAAACTGAAAGTTACCCCCTGCCCATGATCCATCAGCTTTCTTCAAGATCACTTCCATCATAGCCACTTGGTATATAGTGCTTGGTCTAGACTTATCTGAAAATTGCTGTCTTTGATTTGGATTTGTATATGATTGTTGCTTCAATTTTTTATTTATGGAATTTTGACATGGAAGGCATGATGCTTGTGGTTTGTAGGTTGTTGGGTACCTTAACAGCAAGCAGGCGGCACTGTTCAAAAGAATGATTTGGGAAGCAATGAACAAGGACTATGATAAGGTAATGCCTTTGGAAATCCATAAATTTTATCATATGTGTGTTCAGAAGGATTCGATGCAATGCTAGGGGCTTTCTTAGTTTCTGTTTGTTCCATGGTTTCTTTTTATTTGTTGTCTATATTTTTGGCGTTTGAGTCTTTAGATTGAAAATCATTGAGGTTATGTAGTTAATCATGATTATCAGCCCCTGCATTATTTGCCTCTTCATTCTCCTTAGCTCTGTGATTGTGCAGGAATTCTTCACTTTTAAAACCGACCTCCTTTCTTGTATTTGAGTTTATGTTTGCTGCATGTCATATGTGCATTGTGATCTGAAGCATAGGCTTGGAAGTCTCATCCAGCTTAGAGTTCTTGCCTAGTTCTGAGCTGTTATTTGAGTCACACACTGCATAACTGTGTTGAAAGTTTTCACTTCAATCTTATTTGCATTTGAATTATTTTTTGATCTTTCGACTATTTGTGTATGTTTTACTGCCAGCATTGAGTCTTATGTATTGATCTCTATATGCAACTATAACAATTGGCAGGGAAAGAGTAGAAAACGAGCTAGAATGGCCAAGAAAGCTGTTCCTGCTAAAAAGCCAGAAAAGGCTGTCAAAGTTTCTACTGTGATGGATACTAAGAATGTAAGTTAATAATAAACTGGTTTATGGGATTTTTGGTGCTTAAATTTTCCTGCAATGTTGATTGTCCTACTTATAATTTATTTAACAGATACTAATGTGACATTTTGTTCTTGCAGAGGCTGAGTTCAAAAATCAACTATGAAGCTTTGGATAACTTAAATGAAGAGCTTGTAAGCATCTTCTATATGTCTTATTTTAGAATCAATTTTGCTTTATTCATGCTTTGCAAATCCCATATTATGTTCTGTCAACATCCAAGGTCTTGTTAACTGATGCACAAACTGCAAGCGACTAAAAGCCAATCAAATCTAATGGCACGTTTAATTCGATTGTCAAATGATGTTACTTGTTCAATATATTTTTTGTTTTCTTAATGTCTGGTTAGTGTGCATACACCAAATTCCTGTTTAATGGAATAAAGGTATATCCAAGTCACACAAACTACTCCAGGATAGAACTTAATACATAAAAGAATAATATTTGCAAAATGGTATATTATTATTAAGCATGAAACCTGAAAATCAATCTGGTGGTTTACTAGAATGATCAGTTAACTAATTGGGCAGTTAATGGGGCAGTTAGGTTATGGTTCTTTTTTTTTTTTTTTTTTTTTTTTTTTTTTTTTTATAATGATTTTGCAATGTAGTTCCTAGTTAAAAATCCTGGTAGGTTTTAGAAAATGGAGGTCTCTCTCTGCGAGTAATTCCCTGAACTTTAAAAGATACCGAATTTGATTCATCTGATCTTTTCCTTCATGTGTAAAATCAGGGTTATGCACTTGCATTTGAGGAAGGCACAAAGTCTAGTTGTGGCAGTCTTGGTGATATGCAACTGTCAAATGAAGAGGCTGAAGCCAGACAAGTCCAAGATGACGATTCATATGTTGCAAATGACAAATATAACGGACACAATTACGATGATGAATGCAATTATGATGAGGAATGCGATTTTGACGAATTGACTTAGATAATCAACCTTTTTTTTCTTGATTTGGATTATTTTTTCATGAACCAGTTGTATCATGTTATGATCTAAAGGTTAAGCAATTGAATCTTCTGGTTTTTAACAACTTTTTCGAATTGGAATCAGTCTGAGGTGAGATGCTATTGAGCATTGTTTGCACGTGAAATTCTGTGAACTACAACCATGAGCAAAATTTGTAAATTGGAACACTGAATTGTTGGTCTAAATTGGAACAATGTTTCCCCTGTTTTCTTCTTCCTAAATTCAACACTGACAACACCAAAAGGCTTCTCAATATTCTATACAAGTATGAGGAAAATTTCAATTGATCATTGATTTGCATCTCAAATTGTGAATTTATATAATTCAGTTAAAAGAAATTTTATTCAATTAATGTAGAAAAATCTTTACATAGAACACAGACTGAATTGTGTCTTGGGTCTTGGTTCCAGCTTCCAAGCTGTTCAGAGTTTGCTAGCGAGAGCAAGATACTTGGTATGACGGCCCTGAGCTATAATTTTGCATGTCTTCTTCTTCCTTAACAAAACACTGGCAACACCAACAGCCTTCCCAACTCATAAAGCCTTGGCCTCAACCTCTCTTCACCAGGGTAAGCAGAATCCAAGTATGAAACGTTGATCTCCACTGAAACTCCAAAGCTGGGAGTTCCGACGGTGAGGATTGCAGCTAACCCTATCAAATCCACAAGGGTTGTTGTGGCTCCACCATGCATAAAATTGCCTCCATTCAGCAAACGATGGGCTACTTTGAAGGATCAAACAATACGACCGCGTTCAAGGAGATCGACTTTGAATGCCTTTCATGATAAAGGGCTCAAAGAACTTCTCTGGCAGCCCATCCATGGTGATTGCCATTTCACCTTCTTTCTCCAAGAACTTCTTCACTGACTCCATACTTGTTTCCTCATTTCTCCATAAGCCTTAGGGTTGTTTGGTAATGTTTTCAGAGGATGTTTTCTTATAATATTTTCAGAGAAGGAAAGCAAAAAAAACAAATTGGCATTTTCAGGAAATGAAAATGCGTCTAGTAGATTAATTAGAAAACATTTTTAGAAAACAAAAACAATAAAAACGTGTCTGGTAGTACAATTTGAAATAATAATATGTGAGTTATTTTTATGAAAACGTTTCCCATGAGAATGAAAATAACTTTTTTATGTTTTCTACAAGTACACATAAACTTGTTTTCATTATGAAAACATTCTCGGTGTTTTCTGTTTTTGGGCCACCGAACGTGTTTTTGCCTCATTTTTGTTCCCTAAAAATGAAAACAACATATTAAAATGTTACCGGACAGGCCCTAAGCTTTTTATGGAGTGAATCACATTAAAATGCACATAGGGTGACACCATAGTGGAAAAGTGGGTTAAACTCTCCCCTTATCCTCCAAGTGCACCCTAGTTTGATTCATGTATGAGACAATTATGAGATAGCCCAATATAATACTTCCCCCTCCCTCTCCCTAGCGATGACAAAAAAAAAAAAAAAAAGAAAAAAAAAAAAAATACATGTAGTATATTTTTATTTTTTTAAAAGGCTACCTAGGCTAGAGCCCATGGCAGCCTTGTTGCTAGTTATAGCTCTTCGACTTTCACTTATGTGGGTAGAGGTTTGAAACCCCAATGCACCCACAATAATTCTATAGTGAAGGCCTCATATATGGCCCTTATGTGAGACTATTTTTTAACCGTTAGATCAAATTGGTTAGTCGTTGAATTAAATTTGTTAGCATGATCCAACGGCTAAGAGATAGAACTTCACCTGAGGGCCGTATACAAACCCCTCACTATAAAATGACTCAATACATCCAATGAATATTTGTGTCAACCCCCTTCCCAATCAATTGCTTGTAACCAAAAGAAAAACAAAAAAGTTTATCTACACACACCATTTTGGGCCAGACACTGACAAAAGAGAACTTAACCATCATCTGAGGCCCAACTCTAGGGATATAACTGTCATTTCGCATTAGCACCGAAATCACGGCCAAAGATATAAGGGAAAGACGAGGACTTTGTACTAGTAGGGAACGAACACTGTTGGAGCTCAGAGCCTGGGAGACGATGAAACGTTTCTTTCGACCAGTAGAGAAAGATGGGTCTGCCAAAAAGCCCACTCTTTCATCTTCTTCAGAAAATGGAGAAATTTCAGGGGAGGGCAGCAAGAAAGAGCCACTTAAGTTCATAACTTGGAATGCTAATAGCTTTCTTCTCCGGGTTAAGAAGAACTGGCCTGAGTTCACTAAGTTCATCACGAGCTTTGACCCAGATGTCATTGCAATACAGGCAAGCCATTCTTTCTCTTTCTACGTTCCCACTTCAAATTTTGGCTTGTTTTCATTTGGGGGGTTTGAGAGACATTGATGAATGCTTGTGATGGCAAATGGGTATGGCTATTTTGATTATTTTCGTATGCTGGGATATTTGGGTGCTTTCTTTTTGGGCATGTGAACGTTGATGCATGTGTTTAATGGGACGTGGTCTCCTAATGTTTTGAGCTCTAGGGGAAATTTGGTTGCTGGGTTTGAATATTTGATACATTTGTAGTAGTAAGGGTCACAGTTAATCAAATTTTTACTCTTTTGGTTTTAAATATTTAAGTCGTGCTGTTCACACTTTAGTTAGTCAGATTTTAAAAGGGTGGTTTGTGCACTTGATCTTGTCATTTGGATTCATTGTAGAAGTTGGCTAGCTAGATTGGTGCCTTTTATTAATATTTTCTAGACACAAATAATGCGTATATTTTTAATTTAATTTTGGATTTGATTTGATATTTTCTTTCGTGATTTAGTATCTGAATCAAACTCAACCTTGTTAGTTGATTCCTTTACTGAGTTCATTTTGTTGGTCTATATTTTTGTCTATATGCTTTGCTAAGTACTACTAATTCTAAAAGCAATCGCTTCGGCAATTGCATGTGTAACAACTTTCTAACTGCGCGTTGATATTAGGAAGTAAGGATGCCTGCTGCTGGTTCAAAGGATGCACCTAAAAATCCAGGAGAGTTGAAAGATGACACTAGCTCATCACGTGAAGAAAAGCAGGTATGATATTCTTATGAATAAAATTTTTGGGTGGGGAGTGTGCTTGTTGAACTTGAACTGTTGCAGTCCATTCCTATCATCGATCATTGTCATGCTCAAAGCATTGGAGTTTCATACGACACCGCAAAAATTTAGTACATTCCCCAGTTAATACTTTACAAAGCGTTGAGTTCCTGATTGGTTTAATGATTTTTTTCATACCTTTTGTACAAGTTTGTTCTCTTAAGAGTTGTTAGTTTTCTTAAGGTGGCATAATACAAGGATGTTCTCATAGTTCTAAAAGTTTATGAAATTAAGCTTCGTGATTGAGTTAAATTCACCATCCCTTCATTCCACCTTCCTTACGTATATAATATTCTCACTTGTATGTTTGATCATTACATGCAAAGACGCCCAAAACGATGATCTCTACTAACCTATATGTTGGTTATCTTTTCTCCTGTCTCAAAATGTGCAGATACTAATGCGTGCCTTGTCAAGTCCGCCCTTTGGAGATTATCGTGTTTGGTGGTCTCTTGCAGATTCAAAGTATGCAGGGACTGCATTGTTTGTAAAGAAGTGTTTCCAACCACAAAAAGTATTTTTCAATCTTGACAGAAAAGGTTTGCTGCTGGTTAATAATCTGTTTCTGTTAATAACATACACCCACTTAAAGTCCCATATGAAACCAGGCCTATTTTCAAGATGCAAACATCTTTGCTACCTACCCATTAGTTTTGGATAATTTCATTCTACTATTATATAGTAAATATCCAAATGATGAGAGTAAATATCCAAATGATGAACTTTATGCTTTTGAAAATTCTGTAAAATTAACTCTTGGAAAAGAATGCACTATTGTTAGTTTTCAAATGAGAAAATGGGATGTATATGTTGTGGTCCAACGATGCAGTGGGAAATCATTTTTAATCTCTGTGCTTGGATATCTATCCCCAAATGTTCTTTTTCTTATATTTACTTGCACATGGAACAGCAGTCAGCTAATATAATTCTCTTTGTTGTTAGCTTCAAAGCATGAACCAGATGGCCGGGTCATCTTAGCTGAATTTGAGACCTTTAATTTGTTGAATACATATGCTCCAAACAATGGTTGGAAGGAGGAAGAAAATTCATTCCCAAGGAGACGAAAATGGGATAAAAGGATTTTAGAGTTTGTTCTGCAGTCTTCAGATAAGCCTCTCATATGGTGTGGTGATCTGAATGTTAGGTGAATGTTTTTCTTTCTTGCAGATGTTTTATCCCCTTAAAATCTCTTGTATCTTCCCTCCCTCTCTCCTCTTTTTTCTTGCTCTGTTCTCATCAAGTGTATCAGTTTTCTTATTGTGGAACTTATATTTTTCTTTCTTAATCTAAACTTCTATACAGCCATGAAGAGATTGATGTGAGTCATCCAGATTTTTTCAGTGCAGCAAAGCTTAATGGTTACGTTCCTCCAAATAAAGAGGTGTTATATTTAATACTGAAGCTACTAGAACATAATTATGGTTGCATATCCATTGTGATTAGTATGTGTTTTTTTTTGACTAGCCATATCTTACCTACATTGTTAAAAATGTGAAGAATGATATGAGTAGTGACCACTCTTGTGGATGCCTATGCATTTCTTTTGTCAGGAAGTATTTGGTGGTCCCATGGATTTGAACTGCTTCATTCCTATGTACATAGAATATGGGGGTTCCGATCCATCATCTGGTATTTGACATTTGAGATAAATTAGAACTTACTACAAGAACTGAAGCCCTGCAGTTGTGAGATTCAAATGCTTCTCTAGGAAAAGTTACCATCATTTGTGGTGATGGTTGCACTATGAAAACCTGTCCTTGTTTCATTTGATCAACAGTGTATTGAGTTTTAGTATTAGACAATTAGTATGGGGAATGGATGCAGGATCGTGAGGCTATTGTCAAATAAAAATTTGTCCATAATATGTGGTATTGCTTTCTTGATGATGCAGGATTGTGGACAGCCTGGATTCACCTTGGCTGAGAGGAAGCGTTTTGGTAACATATTGAAAGAGTATGTGGCCCCACTGGAAAACTTTGTTTCCATGGTTTGCTTGAGAATTAGTATGTTGAAAGGATAACCTTTAAATTTTTTATATTTGTGTCTCTTTTTCCCCATGAAACTGAGGCCAGTTAAAAAAAATATCATGCCAATTTGTTATCACAATTTGTGGCTGCTCTACCTGCCTCTACCCTTGCCCTTTTTCTCCTTTTTTTGATTTCAATGGAATTAACAAAGTTGTTGAACCACTCTTTAGTTTATTTATTTTATAAGACCCCAAGTTTATTTAATGCTGCTTGTCCTGTCCATGGAAAATTGGGTATGTTAGTCATCAACTAATCAACTTGTTCTCCTGTTGGCTTTAGTTGTTACCATCTATCTTAGATTGAGTGCGCATAGAGGGAGATGGAGGGCTGAAAAAAGGAAGAGATCTCACTGCAAAATAATTTGTTACATTTCCTATATTTAGACATAATTTACTTAAAAGAGGTATATTGCTACTCAAAGAATAACGTGGAGAGCTAGGTTTTTCTTTCTCATTATTTGTTTGTTTCTTCATGAAGTTTTGAACATTGTCTGATTCGGGTTCTGTGGATTATGCTTCAGGGGAAAGCTAATAGATGCATACCGGTTCCTTCACAAGGAGAAGGACATGGAGCGTGGCTTCTCCTGGTCTGGAAACCCCATAGGAAAGTAAGAACTTAATATCATATGGATCAATATCCACAGGAATTTGATGTTGAAAATAATTTGCATTGGATCATTATTGTTAGATCCATTGCAATGTTTGCATATCTTTGCGAGGCCATTTAAATGTGCAGGAATGATTAGGTTAGTGGAGAGTAATTGAAATATCATATATTGTTATATACACGGATACCACCTGATAAACATACTGGGTGGTTTCTGGCAGGTATCGTGGTAAAAGGATGAGAATAGACTACTTCATTGCTGCAGAAAAACTCAAAGATAGGATTGTTGCATGTGAGATGCATGGGCTGGGGATTGAACTACAAGGTGTGTCTAATTCCATGTTGAATATTACTTCTGTTGGCTGGGTAGGGTTTTTTTTTGGGGGGTTGAGAATTACATAAATATAGCTTCGAGCACTCCTCCTGTGAGCGCAGAAATGAAATAGCATTATCTTCATAACTTCCATACATTACATTCCATGTCACTTTTGTTTTTGTTTTTTTCTTTCCTTTTGGTATTAATACTGCTTATATCTAAATAGCAAACATTGATTCTAAACACTCTGTAGGGTTCTATGGAAGCGATCATTGTCCAGTCTCCCTTGTGCTTTCTGAAGGACATGCCAATTCCAAAGAAACTGAATTATCTGCGTAACATGTATCCATACGTTACAATGCCACTGTCATGTTTTAGAAAATTTACTCTCAATCTGTAGTTCTGTACTATATGGAGGATGCTATTTAGGTTAGGTTTCCTGAATGTTTCTCTAATACTTTGACAACGTGATGTGGGAAAAAAGAAGAGGGCATATTGCAATGACATTGATTGGTGTTGTTCAAATGATTTGGCCCTTCAATTTCTTGTTTCGTTTTTTTAAGAGAACCCTGATGCTATAGAAACTTCAATAGCGATACGGGTACAAACTTGTTTACCAACTTATCAATACCAAACCTATGTAGCATATGAAATGGCAATCTATGTAATGTGCGATCTCATCCTTCCTAATAACGTATTTTATGTTTTTCAAATTTGTTCACAATTATTTTATTCAAGAGAAAAGGACACCAACCTTTTAAATCATGTCAACCCTAGAACAGTCAGGGGCAACGTCCCAAACCTAGCTAACCTCTGCTTGTTCCTTAAGGATATTCACTTAGTTATCTAATTTATTTTAAATTCTTTTGAAACAATAGATGGAGTGTTTGAGACCCAAGTAAATCAACGAGCCCCTATATTAAAGCAGGCGTCGACCAGTCCTTGCTATAATGAAGGGAAGGCCGTGAAAATGGCAAGAATCCTCAGTTTTCAAAGCAAACAAAAACCAGTCAAATATATTTCACAGCACCCTCACAATGAGGCAGCAGCCACGACAACAATGAAACCCCAAAGTCTCATCCCAATTAACGGTAATCCCTGCCTTGTTTTTTTTTTTTTCAACGTCGTCAAAAAATCAGAGAAAGAGGCAGAGGTGGAGGCCTCCTGTAAATATCTAAAGCAACTGCTGCCGCTGGCATGGTCCCACAATCCCCTAACCACCCTCAAGCTCATCTTCAAATAAGAACATTAAATGTAAAAATTGAATATATTGCCAAAAAAATAAAATTGATTGATTGTAAAAGAAACAAATAATAATATTAAATGTCACCGATTTGGAAAAAAAATAAAAATAAACATTAAATTACACCAAACAGGCATTTAAAAGTCACCAACTAGTCAAATGTTTAGGATATTCACCTAGATATCGAACAATAATTCAGAAAATTATAGTTGGAGTGCTTGAGGCGCAAGTAAACCATTGAATTTGAGCCTCTATATTAAAGCAGGCTTTTTCCCAGTCATTTTTTTAATGAAGGCACTGAAAATGGCCAAACTCATCTCGGTTGTCAAAGCAAACAAAAACCATGTCAACAATATTTCAAAGCTCACAGCCAGATTAATGGCTCCTTATACAACTCTTGCTGGTCCTCCAGAGCTGATCAGAGACCGTTTCGTGGTTGCCAATAATTTCGAGAATGAGGCAGCCGCAGCCGCAGCAACTACAACAATGAGACCCCCAAATCTCTTCCCAATTTATGGTAACCCCTGCCTTGATCTCTTTTTCAAAGTTGTGAAACCATCCGAGTACAAAGACTTCGGCGTCAAAGAAAAGAAGATATCAGAGATAAAGGCCGAGGTGGAGGCCTCCTGTACATATCTCAAGCAAATGCTGCCGCTGGCGTGGTCCCACAATCCTCTAACCACCCTCAAGCTCATCTTCAACCTACTAGATGAAAAAAGCTTTTACCAAGCGTTCCACACGGCGGCGGTTTGGCTCCACCACAACCACCCCAAGACCCTATTGTGTAACGTTCCGAATATTGAGTTGTTCCATTGTTTGTTTTTCCCGGTAGAGATTCTGTACCGCCTTCTAGAAGACGGAGACCAACACCGGAGGATGGAGCCCCTTGCGAAAATGATCAACAAGGCTGTTGAGAGGTACGAGCATGACCCAGACTATCACTTGCTGTACGACCAGATTATGGATCTTTTTGTCGAGCACTTGAAGTCTGATATTCAAATATTGAAGCGAAAATGGAAGCAATCTGATGATATTAATGATGATGCCCAAGTATCCGACGCTGCAAACTCTTGCCTTTTCAGCAACTCCCAAGACGTCCACATCATACGCTCCGTTTTGTTGTGGGAAACCATAGCGAGGAAGGTTTTCCCGCGAGAATCGTACCCGGAATACCAACATCTTGAGGAGGCTGATTACATGAGCAAAATCCGAGACCGGCTCAGGAAGGAGGTTTTGGTGCCCTTGAACAAGGCCGAGCGTTCTCAATGCAGCAACCGTTCACGAAAAGCTGGTGCGGATGAGACCTATTTGAAGGAGGTGAAAGCAGACAAGTGCAAGATTGAGGCAGATGCTTTGCTTCCACATAAGATCTTAGCCTTTGCTGATGACCCCAATCTCCAGAAGGTGGCTGAGCTTCAATGGAAGACAATGGTGGAGGACATGAAAAGGCAAGGTAAAAATGGAAAGAAGACACTCAGCAACTGCTTGGCTGTATATGACGACGACTCTGAATTCCATTTTAGGCAAGGGATCCGGATGGACGCTTCGGTGGCTTTGACACTTTTGATGTCTGAACTGAATGAAGAGCCATGGAAAGGAAAGGTGATCAATTTCAGTGAGTCACCTCAGCTACATTTTATACAAGGCAATAATCTTATGAACAAGTGCGAGTTTGTCAGCAACATGCACAAGGACCAGAACCTTGATTTTCAGAAGGTGTTTGATTTGATTTTGGAAGTGGCTGTGAATGAGAATTTGAAGCCAGAGCAGATGATCAAAAAGGTATTTGTGCTCACAGAATACAAACACTTTGAAGATGTTTCCAACAACAGCTGGAAGACTGATTATGAGGCAATACAGAGCAAGTTTAAGGAGAAAGGGTATGGGACTGCGGTGCCACACATAGTGTTTTGGAGGTTCGAAAGTTTGCACCATGAGTCTAGGCCGGTGATGCCTTCCACAGAACCAGGGGTGACGCTTTTGAGTGGCTTTTCCAGCAATTTGATCAAGTTGTTCTTGGAGAATGGTGGAGAAATTGGCCCCGACCAATTCATGGAATCAGCCATCTCTAGTAAAAAGTTTCAGAAGCTGGTTGTAGTAGACTGACTGATTAGTTTGATTTATGATCATCTCATCTGTCGATTTAACTTAATTATTTCCTTTTCCTTGAAGATCAACAGTTTTAATAAAAAGATAATTAGACACTTCCTTATTAATTATTTATAAATTAGTAGATTATTCGCATCATTCAAATTAATTATGGTCATTTTCTTATCAAATCTGCGATTTAATTATACGAATTACTAGCTTGGTATATCTTCCATCTCGAAGATAAGCCTAAAAAAAAAAAAAAAAAAAAAAAAAAAAAATTATTAATTAATTAGTTTTGACAAAATAAAATAAAAAAATAAAAAAATCCTTGGTGCTCAAGTAATCACCTTATATAATTTTTTTTAAAAAGAACAGAAAAATGAAAAAAAAAGGTCAAAATACGAAAGTGTCTCATACAAAGGCCGTCATCGCCTTCTCTCCCAAAAACCAAAACTAATGGCTACTTATACAAGTCTTGTTCTTCGTCCCCTAGAGCTCAAACTACCCAGAGGCAACCCTTTCATGGCTGCCAATTTCAAGACAGCCACAATCGCTGCCAAGACAAGAGTTAATATGAGACCACTAAATCCAATTCCACCATTTATAGGCTTGAGTAGTACTAGAAGAACCGCGGTCTCCATCTCCAAATCCTCTCCCTCCTCCACTCTCACTGATGATGGTAATTGCAATGGTAACCCCTGCCTTGACCTCTTCCTCAACTTCCGAGATGCGGAGAAGGCCGGCGCCGGCCGTAATCATCTGGAGGAACTGCTGTCGCTGGCCTGGTCCCACAACCCCCTAACTGCACTCAAGCTCATCTACAACTTACAAGATACTTCAGGATTACTCCTTTGGAACAGGTGAGGAGGATACGTTCCGCACCGTGACGTTTTGGCTACACAATAACCACCCCAAGACCCTAGCGCGCAACGTCGTACCTATTGCCGGGCTTTTCTTGTATTTCCTTCAATTTTGCTTTTTACTGCGTCCGCATCTCGATCTAGAAGAGGAACGCCAATCTAAATTAGTTGGAGACATCACGCTGATTGCGTATCAAAGGGCGCATGACATAGAAGGCCAAGACGTGAGCCAGCAAAAGGCGGCTGTCGTCGAGAGGTACGAGCGTGACCCGGAGTATCGCTTCTTCCACGAGTTTATTTCGGATATTTTTGTGGAGTGCTTGAAGTCTGACATTGAAAAACTGAAGAAGAAAAACTTGAAGCAAACCTAATGATGATCAAGACAACTGGTGGAAGATAACCTCGGCTGCAGACAGTTGCCTTTCCTTGAGCAACAACTTTAGCGACTCCGCTCTGCTGCTCCAAAGCATAGCGAGAAAGGTTTTCCCGCGAGAATCATACCCTGAATACCAAGGTGTTGAGGAGGCCGAGTATGCAGACTCTGTCCTAGACCGGCTGACAAAGGAGGTATTGCTGCCTATGGACAAGTTGGACGAGGCCTACAAATGTGATGATAGTACGGATGATACATATTTGGAGAAGTTGAAAGCCCGCCAGAAGTATTGGGAGAACTTGAAAGCCGACAAGTCCAAAATTGAAGCAGATGCTTTGCTTCCGCATCAAATATTAAGCTATGTGAATCATTGGAATTTCGCGCAAGTGGCTGAGCTTCAGTGGAAGGCCATGGTGGAGGGTATAAAAAAGCAAGGCAAATTAAACGGCAAGAAGATACTCAACAACTGCTTGGCTTTATGCGACGTTGCCTCCATGCTAGACATCGATATGCAAAACCTGGACGTGTCTGTGGGTTTGACACTTTTGATGTCTGAACTGAATGAAGAACCTTGGAAAGGAAAGGTTATCGATTTCAGTGAGTCACCTCAGCTGCATCTGATAAAAGGCGATGAACTTAAGCACAGGTATGATTTTTTGACTAGGAGGATGGCCTGCGAGAGCAGCTGGAAGCTTAAGGTTAATTTTCAGAAGGTGTTCGATTTGATTCTGGAAGAGGCTGTGAATGTGAATTTGAAGCCAGAGCAGATGATCAAGAAGATGTTTGTCTTCCCCGGAAGCCCATACTTTAATAATAGTTGGACCAAGTCTGAAGATAAGGATTCAGATAATAGTTGGAAGACTATGTATGAGGGAATACAGAGAAAGTTTAAGGAGAATGGGTATGATAATGCGGTGCCACAAATTGTCAATTGGAAAATCTCGGACTACGAGCCAAGGAAGTGGATGGTGCCTTCTACAAAACCAGGGGTGACCATGCTGGATAATTACTCCGACGATTTGCTGAAGTTGTACTTCTTGGATAATGGAGGGGAAATTATCCCAGAGCTTAGCATGGAAGCAGCCATCTCAGGGGAAGAGTATCAGAAGCTGGTTGTAGTGGACTGAGTACTGACTGGTCTGGTTTTGATGTCCATCATCTGTGTGTGTTAGTTTTTTCCTCCTTTACTTGAAGACCAAAAACTTAATTAAAATGTCCTGCAAACCTGCTTAAATCATTTTAGGAAGTTCAAGGTTACTGCTGCTTTGAAATAGTCGATGAGGTTCCATTCATGTGGTTAATTTCAGGGTTGTATTTGGATCCTAAACATTGTTCGAACTTTTTATTGAGAACCACATTATCTGCATTCACGTTTTCCTTCTTTATCCTGAATCCCTGATATCTCATGCTATTGTACCATTTGACTTGCTACATAAAATGGTTATCTCTTTCTCTACTTAAGCTGCAATTTATTTGGATGCACAAGTCTGTCTTGGTTTTGGAAATTTTTACATTTATGAAGTAGCTATCTGATGGGGATTGGGATTAGGACACAGGTCACCAACCACATACACGATAACCGAAATCTAGGGTTAGTGCAGACTCACATATATCGTAGCAAATCCATGCCACAAATAAACTATTTCATTAATCATTAATCATCATTATTCAATTCCCTACAACTATTACAATAGCCTTATTTATAGGCTTTACAAGACTTGGGCACCAAGACTGCTTGGTCCAAAAGTAAACTAATTAATTATAAAATCACACATAAATAATAAAAGATATCCTAAAACTACCTAAATAAGAAAATAACAATATATCATGAAATAACTAATTAAATGATAAATATCTATCTTAATCCACCCCTATGCTCCTGCATCACTGTCACTAACCCATATTATGTGGATTAATTCCAATTATAGAAAAAATAAAAAATAAACACCTTTTGAATAGTGCGAGCTCTCAGAACCTAAAGGTTTTGTTTTGTTTTTTTTTTAACATCAATGATAACCTAGAAGGATTCTGAAAAATCTGACCTCCAAAAGTTAGATTTTCTTTCTTCAATTTGTATATCTATATATTTCCTAATTGTTTTAAATGGCCTCCCTAACCACATCCCCTCTCCCCCCATCCCCCCATTTCTTTCCCCTCATGATCCCACGTATACAAGGAAGATGTCGAGTTTGGTTTTAGCTGGTATGACGATGTGGATCTATTTGGGTTGCCTAAGAGGATGTGGAGCGGTGATCCTACTTCTTACTTTATTTAAGTCTAATAATTCACAGGAACTTTTTTAGGAGTTTTTTGTAGTTTGATATGTATTGCAAGTTTGAGTCCATAATATAACATAATATTTCTTGTATTTTATATTATGTATTTACGATGACACTCATAATTTGACCCAAAAAAAAAGAGAGAGAATTTTCAAAACATGCATCAAACTCCACCTACCAAACAAGATTTCCATTTAGTAACCCACCAGTAGCCATTTGTATACAAAATAAATATCAATATAATCAATACAATTGGTATTGATATTATCAATCGGGTAAATTTCACTTTACTACCTAGAAGTTTTATGAAATTCAACCTTTAAAGGTTTTTTCATCTCAAAGAATTGGTATCCAATATTTGATTTTTCTATCACTTTAATACCTCCGTTAGTCTAAATGTAAAATCTTTCGTTCAATAATGACGTGACAATCAATAGGCCCACATGAACCAAACATATTATGTCATGTGGATTGACAAAATAAAATAATAAACAATTAATAAATAGAACAAATCTTTTGATGATGAAGCCCATAAAGCATTTGAAATCAAATTTTGAAGGGGAGATTGAGGAGAGGAGAAGGAGGAGGGGTGCACAGTGGGGTGTGGCATGGAATTTGAGGAGAACAGATCCACTCCCCCAAAAAATAAGGCTGGGTCAAAGTAAAGTAGAGTCCTAGTAAATTTATATATGTTTTTCTCATAAGTCAAGTGAATAATAATAATAATAAATTCCGTTGCTTGCTAATTATGGATAAACATTTAATTATGTCATACGAATTACTAGCTTTTTATCTTTCCATCTTGATAAAGGAAGCCTAATAAGAAAGTAATCACCTTGGTGCTCAAGTAATCACCTTCTATATACTAGAAAAAGGGGTATCATAGAGCTCAAACTCCCCAAAGCGCCTTTTGAATTTCAAAGATAAGGCCGTCATCATCTTCTATGCTTAAAAATCAATACTAATGGCTTCTTATACAAGTCTTGTTCTTCGTCCCCTAGAGCTCAAACTACCCAGAGGCAACCCTTTCACATGGCTGCCAATTTCAAGACAGCCACAATCGCTGCCAAGACAAGAGTTAATATGAGACCCCTAAACCCAATCCTACCATTTATCGGCTTGAGTACTGCTACTGGTAGTAATAGAAGAACCGCGGCGCCAGCGTCGATCTCTGAATCCACCTCCACTGTCCCTGATGATGGTAATTGTAATGGTAACCCCTGCCTTGACCTTTTCTTCCTCAACTTCCAAGATGCAAAGGTGGCCGGCCGTAATCGTATGGAGGAACTGCTGTCGCTGGCCTGGTCCCACAATCCCGTAACCACCCTCAAGGTCATCTACAAGATACTATTGGGCCATCATGACGAAATATTCCGCACGATGACAATTTGGCTCCACCAGAACCACCCCAAGACCCTATCATGCAACATTGAGCCTATTGCCGGATTGTTCGTGGATTTCTAGCAATTTTGCAAACTTCTGAATGTGCATCTAGACCTAGTTCTAAAAGACGAACGCCAAGTTGTTGAAGATGGCTTTCCCCGGATTAGATTTGAAACAAGCCATGACCTAGAACAAGGCCAAGACGTGAGGCAGCAAAAGCAAATGGCTGTCGAGAGGTACGAGCGTGACCCGGAGTATCGCTTCTTACACGAGTTTATTTCAGACATTTTTGCAGAGTGCTTGAAGTCCGATATTGAAAAACTGAAGCACTCTGATGATTATGATGATGAGAAAGACAACTGGTCGAAGATAACCGATGCTGCAACCAGTTGCCTTTCCATGGGCACCAACTTTAATGACCCCACTCTGCTAAGGCAGAGCATAGCGAGGAAGGTTTTTCCCCGAGAATCATACCCAGAATACCAAGGTGTTGAGGAGACCGATTATGCAGACTCTGTCCTAGATCGCCTGAAAAAGGAGGTTTTGCTGCCCTTGGACAAGTTGGACAAGGCCTACGAATCTCAAGACCGTGTAGTTGAGAAGTATTTGGAGGAGGTGAAAGCTGGAAAGTCCAAGATTGCACCAGATGCTTTGCTTCCGCATCAAATCATAAGGTATGTGAATCACTGGAATTTCGGGCAAGTGGCTGAGCTTCAGTGGAAGGCCATGGTGGAGGGTATAAAAAAGCAAGGCAAATTAAACAGCAAGAAGATACTCAACAACTGCTTGGCTGTATGCAACCTCCGGGACATGTTCAAGCCCGGGATGCACAGCATGGACGTGACCGTGGGGTTTACACTTTTGATGTCTGAACTGAATGAAGAGCCATGGAAAGGAAAGGTGATCCATTTCAGTTCGAATCCTCAGCTACATCTGATAAAAGGCGATGAACTTACTTACAGGTGCGACTTTTTGACAAGGAGAGTGCCCTGGTGTTGGAAGGTTGACTTTGAGAAGGTGCTTGATTTGATTCTAGAAGAGGCTTTGAATGGGAATTTGAAGCCAGAGCAGGTGATCAAGAAGGTGTTTGTCTTCACCGAATCTACAGACTTCGATAATGCTAGATCCAAGCCTAATGATGAGGAGTCTGATGACGAGGATTCAGATAATAGTTGGAAGACTATTTATGAGGGAATACAGAGAAAGTATAAGGAGAGTTGATAATGCGGTGCCACATATTGTGTATTAGCAAATGTGGCCTTGTCTCCCCGATCGTAGGTGGTGGGTGAAGTCTTCCGAACAACCTGGGGTAACGATGCTTGAAGGCACCGCTGACAATTTGCTCAAGTTGTTCTTGGACAATGGAGGGGAAATTTCCCTGGACCTTATCATGGAAGCAACTATCTCAGGCAAAGAGTATCAGAAGCTGCTTGTAGTGGACTGAGTACTCGCTGGTTTTGATGTTCATCATCTGTTGTAGTTAGTTGTTTTGTTTCCTTTTTTCCTTGAAGACCAGAAACTTAATTAAATCATTTTAGGAAGTTCAAGGTTGCTGCTGCTATGAAATTAGATGAGGTTCATTTATGTGGTTGTTTTTGGATATTCCTACAAATTTGATATCAGTTAGTGTATTAGCAACTTTTTCTGTGCAAGCAAATACTGAATAACATTCTCATTAAGAACCACGCGATTTAGTCTTTTTTTTTTTTTTTTTTTTTTTTTTTTTTTTTTTTTTTTTGTCTTTCTAGTAATTATTCCTGCTAAGAATTCCTCATGCATTCAAAGAATGAAAAACCTCTTTCTTAAGGTATGAGAAAGAATATCTGACCCTACATTTATAATGTATAGTCATTAGGTTTCTGAAAAAAATTTAATAGACTTGAATCGGATTGTTTAATTTGAGACTTCTGTGTCCGGAGTCTGATTATGCTTTTAAGTTTAACAGCAGATATATGCTCCTTCTGATGTAGGAACTAAGAAGACTAGTTGAAGCTCTTTTTTCCCAATCATTTATATTATATGTGTACATATGTTCTGTGAAGAACAGAGGAGACTTGAAATGGAGTTTGGTAATTGATGTTTAACTGACAATTCAAGCTATGTATATGATATTGCTTAATTACCTTGTTCTTTTTCCATCACACTGCATTTAACCTCCATGAGGACCGAGAGCTTCCTCGTCTCGCCCCCACGAGGAAATTTTTTGTCACGCTATCTCGAAGCATAAATGTTTTGCTGTGAATAATTACCATGATATAGGCTGGGGATCTGGAAATATTATGCACAATCATTGAAGCATAGCTATAGAATATGCAAGAAATGGTTTCTAATTGTGGTTTTATTAAAAGGAAAAAAGAGTACAGGTTGTAAAAAGTTTGGCATCTGCTTGCCTTTTCCTATGTCGAACCAGTTAGGCTGATTATGGGGGAAAAGAAGGTAATGGAATCCAAATGATTGCAAAATGTGGGCATAATCATCCTTTTCAATATCTGTCAGATAAGCAATTAAGTATTTAAAATAAAATAAAAGAAAAAATATATTTGCCAAGAAATTCCCAATTTGAACTTTGCAAATGTTATGACATCTTGGTTTTGGAAGTTTCTTGACTTCTAACAGAAAAATCAAGACCCATATTACTGCTAGGAAACATTTGAACATGTTCAAGGTTAAAACACTGTTTAGTTTTAAAAGCAATTGATGTGATTGATAACTACATTTATGAAGTAGCTTACACTAACCCATGTTATGTGGATTAATTCCAATTACAAAGAGGTTCCTCTAGCAACAGAAATTTACACCTTTTGACTGGTGCACAAGCTCTCAAAACCTGAAGGTTTTGTTTTTTTGGTTTTTATTTATTTATAACTTCAATGATAACAGAGATGGATCCTGAAAAATCAAACCTGCAAAAGTTAGATTTTCTTTCTTCAATTTGTTAAAAAAATTCAATGGTGATGAGTGGTGAATTATCAACTCTATCAAGGCTTATATCTTGATAGACGTCCGATGTCGAAAATTTTGATTATATATAGCCTATGAGGAAATTTGAGAAATTCTCGAAAATTTTGATTCTTTAGGATTTGGAGAAATTCTCCTACGTGGACATCTAGACATTATTATCGTGCAGGAGCAATGTATTTTCTACTACCCCTTGTTGTTTATAATGACATACGCATGATAATACTGCGCTGGCATCCGGATAAGGGAATAACTATATATATATATATATATATACTTTAAATTCCTTCTTTTTCCGGTCGTTGTCAAATGATATGAAAGTTAGATTTACAACGACCATCCAAAGTAAGTGTTGTTTCACCTTTAGCCGTTTATTGTTGTGTTTAACTGTTGATGTCGAAAATTTGTCAAGCCTAAAGAATCAAGAATAAATAAAGCAAAGGATGAATAAATTGCTCAAAAGTTAAAGCCTGACCGAATCATCTCCAAAAACAAATTTCCAAATGCTTTTTTAACTACGCCCCAGAAGCAAGAGATTGATCTAAGTAAACGTAATACTATTACAAGTAAAGAGAGCACACCAACCAACTTACAGAAGCATAACCTCCAAAGAAACATCCTAGCATGAATCTACATCCAAACAATGTCTGTCAATCACCGACACACACGTATAAATATTTTCTTTAACACTTACTAAAATTTTAGAGTGTCACATTGCAATACGGTGTGTGTTTGTATTTCGTGAACGAGGGATGATGAGGGACTAAGTATGGAAATGACAAATCTGACCTCGCCCACCAGCAGCCATTTTTGCACATCCAATTGAATTGACCATGGTCACAAATCATATCTCTCCCAACCGTTTGACATTTATTGATAGTTTTCAGATGTCAATAGAAAAAGATGTACGCTGGAAGAAGAAGATGGTGCTCTTTTGCCCTTCTTCACCCAATGCAAGTCAAAATGTGATTGGTTACTTCTTCATCTTAGGTTGCATGATGTTCTTATCATAACCCAAATTATATATATATATATATATAAAGTGAACTTTTTTGTTTTATTGTTTGACCTATCGCAAGAAACCCAAATGAATAAATAATTTAAGTAAATAGTTTTATGTAACCTACCATTGTAGCAATATAGCCATTCACGTAATGACACGTGGCTCACATTTTGACCCACCACATAATAGCGCCAAAAAAAATAAAGACTCTGAGTCAATATCAAAAGTACGGTCGACCACAAGCCTCCTGTTACAAGCAAATTAATCCTTTTCTTTTCTTTGGGTTAACAATATGTATATGTATATCAATGAAAATGAAACTGAAAAAATGAGAATGATATCACAAAGATAATAATGAAAATGATATTATATGTATATCGATGAAAATGATATTATATGTATATCATACGGAATCAAATGGTAAATTTAATAGCCGATTTCTAGATTTATTGACTTTGTTATACAACTAAAAATCAGCATGTCACGGGTTTGAGGACTAGTATCAAATCCACGTATTACCCAAAAATGGTAAATTTAATATAAAATAAGAAATAAGACATAAAGATGAGAAAAGTCGCCTCCTAGTATAAGAATGTAAATTGCAACTCATGGAAATGTCAACAGGTCCATATTTCAATGACACCTCCTCCTCTCCCTCCAAACTTTGAAAAAAAGAAACTCATGGAAATGGGAATTTACCATTTCACTCATGTTTGAGCTTACTAATTATGGGGGAAAAATCTCATAATCTTTTTTTATTTTTTTTTATTTTTTTGGCGAAGAGTTTTCTATGAAACAAACATCGCCTGTGATACAAAAAACACAAAAATCATGTAAAAGCAAACACAAGAAGAAACTAATAAATACTAGCACAAGTATAAACAAAAAAATTCATGTAATTACTCACTTAATAATGTATAAATTACTGTATAAAAATGTTATGAATGATTACTTATACAATTTAGATGATCTAGGTTCAAATTCTGAACATAAAATATTTGAATTTACCTTCTGAATTTGTACTCAATAAGACATAAGGTTGGATAAGTTTTTGTCAAACATTATCCAAACAAAAAATTCCCAATTTTACGTCATCCCAAAAATTAAAAAAGCTAAAAAAGAAAATGGCACAATGGTAAAAAGACTGAGAAAACAATGTCATTTCGAAGAGTGGCCTCAAACCCAGAATAAAACCCCACTTGCATGTCTACCTCACGGCGCTCTCACACCCACACCCACACACCCACAGTCTTGCGTCTTCCCCTGCCCTCAATTTTTACTATTTTCCTCTTCTTTCTCTTCTCTGTAGCATAATAAAGAAAACAGAGGAAATAAGAAGAAAATCCCAAAAACCAAAAAGCCTAGAAAATGAAACATAGAAGAATCTAAGCTGCTTCCCTTTCTCTGTTTGCTATGCGAAATGGGGTTTTGACTGAGAAATCATCAAAACCCAAATCTCAGAAATCCACGAATTGCTAGTTTCTGCTATTAATGTCTGCTTCAGGCTTAGCCGCAGAGCCGAACCAGGAGGTGTTTTCATGGCTCAAAACCCTACCAGTAGCTCCAGAGTACCACCCAACTTGGGCCGAGTTCCAAGATCCGATTGCCTACATTTTCAAGATCGAGAAGGAGGCTTCCAAGTACGGAATCTGCAAAATCGTGCCTCCGGTGCCGCCTTCTCCGAAGAAGACCGCAATTGCGAACCTGAACCGGTCTCTGGCGGCTCGGGCCGGCCCTTCGGGGGCCCCAGGCACTAAATCTCAGCCCACATTCACTACCCGGCAGCAGCAGATCGGGTTCTGCCCTCGGAAGCCCCGACCAGTGAACCGACCCGTGTGGCAGAGCGGCGAGTACTACACTTTTCAGCAATTCGAAGCGAAAGCCAAGAGCTTTGAAAAGACTTACTTGAGAAAATGTAACAAAAAAGGAGGGCTTTCACCTCTGGATATCGAAACCCTTTACTGGAAAGCGACTGTGGACAAACCCTTTTCTGTAGAGTATGCCAACGACATGCCCGGTTCGGCTTTTGTGCCGCTAAGTGCCAGAAAGAGTAGTACTAGTAGAGACGCAGGGGACAATGTGACCCTTGGTGAGACTGCTTGGAATATGAGGGGGGTGTCGAGGTCAAAAGGGTCTTTGTTGAGGTTTATGAAGGAGGAGATTCCGGGGGTTACATCACCTATGGTGTATATAGCTATGTTGTTCAGCTGGTTTGCTTGGCATGTGGAGGACCATGACTTACATAGCTTGAATTATCTGCATATGGGAGCAGGGAAGACGTGGTATGGCGTGCCTAGGGAAGCAGCGGTTGCTTTCGAGGAGGTGGTGAGGGTGCAGGGTTATGCAGGAGAGATCAATCCTCTTGGTGAGTTCAGGGCAATGCTGAACTTTATAGGACTCAAACTTGACAATCCTCTGTTTTGAATTGTGCTTTCTTTTGTTTGACATTTGTTGGAAAGGTTCATTATTCTGTTTGTTTGATG